TAACTGAGTTGTCGAAATTCTTCAGGAACATTTTTGGAATATTTATTTTGAGACACCCTATATTCTTGGTGATAACAATTTTGGATGGTAGACCCGTACAACTTCTGTATTCAATGTATTTTTCTCAAACCCGTAGTGGCGAAATATAAATTATAACCCTAATACATTAAATTTGGTACACCACGCATATAAAATCACAAAGAATATTTATTAAACAATTTTGGAAGTTCTGGCATATATTTAATGAATATATTAAAAATGGTATTAGTTGATATTTTGTGCGTGCAAGTTGCAAATCTGGGGACAAATCTAGGAAAAATTACTATTTACAAAACTTCTGAATTCCTTCTGCGTCTATTGGTGTTGAGTTGAAGTTGCTGTGAAACTGCGGCTTAAATTTCGAAATGGTCAATTCTGAGGGTCATGTCATTGAATGTATTCGTGTTGTTTTACAAAAAGGACCCAAAACCTAACGGTCGTAGAAAATAGTATATTATGCAACGAGTGCGGCAAACGGCATTTGACTCACTTAAAAAGGCTTAAAAAGATTACCGAACGTGTTGCATACTATACTTTTTCTACGACCGTTAGTTTTTGGGTGCATTTTCGCAAAACAACAAGAATACATTCACTGACATGACTGTCAGAATTGACAAACGTCAAAATTCAAAGCGTGGGAAATATCTCCGAAAACATCCGATTGATCCCAAACCCGTGGGGTAAAATCCCGGAACTGTAAAATTTAGACTTAGCTGTATTCTATTATACCTATAACGATTGTCAAGGGTCCCGAGAGTGGCAGGTAGACGGATAGGCAGAATAGTGTTTACGAAAAAACTCAAAACCGAAAATCTTCACTTTTAAGAAGAACGAAATTATCTGTTGGAGTTTTGAAGGAAGAGCAAGAATAGCTATTATCTAAAAAGTCGGAAAAAGTAAAATATTAATAATTACTTAATTATTCATATGAGTAGCAACAATGGATTTGCTTGCAGCAAATGCTAGGTGTGGTATAGTTATGGATAATGCTACCACAGCTTTATCATTCTGACTTTAAATTTCAGAAAGATATGCTGAAAAAGGAGCTACTAGAGTTTGTAAATTTGACTATATCTTTCTAAATGACATTTTATTTATAGTTTTTATTTACTTTATTAATATCTCAATTATTAGCCCATCTCTTTGATTTTGATCACGTATCATTATATATTTTGTGCTAATAAACTACTTGTAACGCCGCTGTCACATTAATTTCATTCACCAAACTCATCTTTCTATTGCATGCAAATTAGTGCGAACTTAATGTACGTGCTGGTCCTGTGTAGGACCTAAAAACTATCGGAAACTATCATTGCAATTCATCTGAATTTTACGATATAACATGCGACACTTTAGTCACGAGTTTCGTTAGGCACGAGCGTCTGATCATCCGATAAGATCCGATCGCTCCTAAAGCCGTGGCCTTAAGTGACTGTGGATCCCTGCTCAGTTCAAAATAGGGTATTCTAGAGTAGGGACTAGATATTTACACATTATTATTATTATATTCTTGCATTTATTTATGGTTGACAATTGGAAAATTGTTAAAATACCTGATTGATAAAATATTTTCATTTGACATATATGTTAGATGCCAAAACTACAAATAAATAAATAACAGTGTGATCTAACTAAATCTATACCGCCCATAACTTTTGAGGAAAACATTGCAAATCCGGTTCTGGTGTCTATATTTTTAATATTCCAAAGGCGAATAATCTACCTTTGCCTTTATTTTGTTGACGGCTTCGGGAATCTTTATTGCAAATCATGCCGTAAACGGTGGCAAGGTGGCTATAAACGAAAGGAAATAATATCACATCCTGTTGCCGAAAATACAAAAAAAAAAAGAGAACAAAAAAAGCACTACAGACCATTATATCTGGGAATACCAATTTACTTAAAGTTTTACATCGAAATATTGTTTAATAGATACGTCCGAGAAGTCAGGTAGACTTTGTTAAATTTCAAGGAGATAAAATAATAAAGGAACGGAATTTATCGCTTGGAAGGATGTTGATGCCCAGCTGATAGTTGATAATTACAAAATACATAAATTATATAAAATGTCATTACAACGTATCAATATCTAATGTGATAAAGGCGATTCTAAGTTATCCCATTGTTGTAGATAGATCAAATATTTTGAGAAGGCTGGCCATAAATCACAGTTTTTTACGTGGTACACTAGGTATTTAATCATGGTGTAGAATAAACAGGACTGTCAATAGGGCAACATCCCTTGAACGTTCCTATTGTTATGCGACGTTCAAGCTATTTGTTAAGCGTTCTGCTACCTTCTTTATCATTGTAACTACGAGCTCAGTCAATTAATGAAACTGGAGTAATTTTTCTGCCAATTATTTTTTTAATGGGCCATCCTTCTTTATCATTGTAGCTACGAGCTCAGTCAATTAATGAAACTGGAGTAATTTTTCTGCCAATTATTTTTTTAATGGGCCATCCTTAGTTTTACGTTAGATTTAGTTTTAGGATAAAAAAAATATCATGTGAGTTTACATTAATAGCTCAACTTATTCAAGAAGTATGCACAAAATCTAAGTTAACTGCACAACAAATGAGCTGTTAACAACCAAGATAAAAATTCGCCAACTTCTCCACCTGCACCTTAAAGAGGACTTTTTCCAAAACATGTAAAATACTAACTGCTGATCCGCGTAACTCATTTTTTAAGCTACAGGCACGCACTTTATGGGTATTTACAGCAAAATTTTGCAACGCAATAATATGTAGCATGCGCTACGGCATTTCTTAGAAGTACGTACATTTAAATTCAATCATCGCATCTATTATTAATATTCCGCCGGTGTCATCTTATTAACCTTAAAAAAATAACCGCCGTGGACGCACAATTCAACCTTCAAAACGCGAAACTCCCTATACAATCGGTAATAGTAATCCTTGACCCGACCCAATGACTTCGCATGCCAAGCATGGCAATAAAACCTTTTTTTTAATGCTTGGTGAATATCTACTCTTTGTTTTCTCGTAAATAGGATTGCTTATTCGAGCAAGAAAAATTAAACAAATTACAAAAACGCCATTATCCGTTAAATTATACAGGGTTATTCACGCTATACGGCATGGAATATTGTAGCGCACATGGACTTTCAAAAAGTTTCACTAATTTTTGGATGTGTGATGAAGTATTGGCAAATCTGCAAGCTTATCGTGAAGGTCTATCATTAAGTTGATTTGAATGAATATATAAAAGACTGATTTATGTGAAATATTAATAAATCATACAATATAACTATGTAGGTATTTTATTCTATAAAGTTCTTGCACATTAGAATAACTTAATAACTTCCACTACACGATATCTTAAAGAAAAATTAGTTTTTCGTAGCGAAACTTACTACATAGATATTAGGGTCTACAGATTAACTGCACCTCAAATCTGTAAACTGCAAATTATTAATTATATTATTAATAATTATAATGCATGCATTGCATTACCATCACAGAGGATGTTCGGATAAAAAATGTGCTACTATTTGGATTCGATTTATTTTCATTATTAATTTTATGTGCGAATGCAACTTTTATCTTTAAGGATAAGGAAACTTTTGTAGGCGAATAAATTACACAGGGTGTCCACAATTTAAATCTCATCAAATATGACCTTGTCAAAATTGTATTAATTTGTACGGAGCGCTATATTTTTTGAATTTTTTTTAAAGGTATGCTTTATTGTGTATGTCCTTTAGAAATATAATTTACTAGTAATTATTGGTTTTAGCATTTGCGGATATTATTTTAGTTTTCTAAGAGCAGCGCTTTAACAGAATAATCTTTATATTTTATATTTTTCTTATTACTTGATTAAACAGCATACACAATATTTCTTAAAGAAAAAAAAACAAAAACAAAACAAAACCTTGATGCTTTTCAGTCGACCTGTACAATATGAAAATACTTTTAAAAAATTGCCATATCTCAATAGTGAAACGGAATACAAAAGACCATAAAATAAGACAACAGTTAACAAAATGGAATGGAACATAAAAAGACCACTTACATTTATAATTTTTACTTTTTGAGAATTTCTTTTCCGTCCCAGTCCACGAATGGAGTCGCAAAAGGGGCGTCGTTTCGCGAATACGTCCACTCGACGTGTCGCGACGCATTTTTTTCTTCGCGGCCGCAAGTCATGGAATGAAATTTAGAACAGATTAATCTTATGTTCGAGACTTCAGATTATCGGCAAGTAAAAATTAAAGTCTTGTTTATGTATTGCGCAGTCTGAGATAAACTTGTATGTGGGAATCAATTTTAAGCGCCACGTACCCTTGTTACACTTTATGTAAACGAAAGTTTTGATAACAAGCATTGTTCGGCATCATAAATTAATGAGATGGCACAAACCTCTGTTGACTTCCCTCCACGCATGAAAATGTTGGTATTCTAAATGAAAAACTTTGTTATTAAAAAAACTGTATTATATGAGTTTTTGGAAATTCAGTCCATTGTACTAGTTTGATGATGATAGGTATTTTGCAGAGAAGAACGGTTAAACGGAGAAAATTGAATGGATTTTTTTTAAATTTTGACAATGGCCATTATTTTTTCATATGGACCTCCTAAACTAAATACATCAGAAAATTGGATTTTTGGCACTCTTTACTATATTGAACAATAAAATTAACAGGTATGTTTCTGTAGAGAACATTACAACTTCAAATCTTTGGAAAAGAGGGACGTAGTACGTCACACTTTCGTATGCGGGGATCGAAAAATACAATTCATTTAACCTCTTGATACGGAATTAATTTGTACCACAACTATTTTGTTATTCTTTTTCTGTTCGCTTTATTGTGAACACGGTAAGTTTATTGGCGTTTTAACTCTCCATAGTAAATCAGAGATTGTACAACTCCAAAATGATCACGGATAATAAGATTTATCATTTCTCCACCTTTTTTGATCTATGTCTTATATAAACACAAACTGATTTGTGACACTTGTTCTAGGATTGCACTTGTTGGAATAACAACTTAATATAATTGCTTAAATTCGGTGCAGAATGTGAAAGCGTAGTGTTTAAATGATCTCATTAGGTTTAATTATTATGGCGACATGTGCAATTTGGAACAACCTAAATAATGATCGATAAATAGCCAGATAGGGTCGGATCTCAAAATTATGTCGGGACACGCAGTTGTTGTGTGGGAGTACGAAATACAAAACGGCTATTGGAAACCGTACAGCCCTGAGGTGAGCCAGCATCTCGAACGAGCTAACGCGAAGCAGTTAACCAGAGTGATTTTGTCTGATGCTGATCCGAGTTTACAAAACTATTTTGTCAATTTACGGACATTGTCACAGGAGTTGGAAGATTCTGGTGATTACATGTGCTAGAGATTTAATTTTATAATCTGTATTTTTGCTTTTTCTTGTTAGATGTGATTGTTCCTGTAAGAAGGAAATGCTATCCTCCCTCTTCACCAGCAGGTAAGGGTGCCAAATGGGAGTGTGTGGGACCAGATCATGAATGGCATGCTTTCGATATGGACATACAGTGTCTTATCGAGGAGGCTTGGGCCAGCGGAGATCAAACTATTGATATGAGCAAAACACATTTAGGTTTTCCTTATGTTATAAACTTTAGCAATCTGACACAAATGTGGATAGTCAATGGCTATGTCAGAAGTGTACGTAGAATCAAACAGGCGCCTTACCCTTTAGTTAAGGTTCGCCTAGAAGAGTTAGCTCCAGTAACAGGTAGGAGAAATGCAGAAATGAGAAAAGCTTATGTGAATAATGCTCAACAAAGTCAGTCCAGTAAAGTCATAGGTAGCAGTGCCGCATTAAACTCAACAACAGAAAATAACAAAAAAGGTACCAGCAAAAAGAAATCTGGCTCAAAGGGCAAAACTAGCAGTGAAAACACTCCAACAAATCTGGCTAGAACAATTTTGAATATGTTTGGTTGGTTATCTTTATTTTTCCGATAATGGTTGTAACCCACATATGTATGTTTTTAGGTCATAAATCTACCAATAATAATACTTCCTCACAAGTTGGAGACAATAATATGTTGTTAGATGCAGACAGCAGCAGCACAAAGTCTGGTCGTAGGCCTAGTTTGGATACTGTATCTACTTATCTCAGCCAGGAAAGTAGAGACAGTCAAGCTACTGCTTCTACAGCTGATTTGATTAATTGCAGCGGCAGTGATGATGGTCTGGTTGATGGACTAGATAGCATATCAGCAATTATAGGTAAGTTTTGCATTTAATTAGCATAGCAGTTTGATTTAAATTTCCCATTTTTAACTTTATCAGGTGTAGATCCTGCTAGCGCTTCGATCTCCCGTTTTGTAAGAGTGTCAAAACCTAGTGAGTGGGCACCAAGGCAACCTTGCCCCCTTTGCCGGCAACCCTTGAAGCCTACTATCTTGGTGATTGCTCTGCCTTGCAATCACGTTCTGCACTTGGATTGCCTGAATTACTCATTAACAGAATTGCAAGAAGCAGGAAACCTATTATATATTCAATGTTCAGTGTGTGGGTGCATTTATGGAGAAAAACATGGAAATCAACCGCCTGGCACAATGGAATGGGGAGTTATGGATAGGAGCCTACCAGGGTTTCACAATTACCGCACTATCCAGATTATCTACAAGTAAGTATCAAAGAAATTCAAATGTTTGGCGTGATTGCATAAATTTGAATAAAATTAATTATGAAATTGTTGGCTAGTCCTATTTTAACAAAATTGATTTCGAAAAATTGTCGCTGTAATTTAAAGGCTTTTTGCTCTGCGGACCAATATTTAACTTTCGCAAAATTGATGTAATTTTATTGTGCCCCTGTATAAAGTGTCTTTCACGTCTCACCAAACTTCAAAGTTATGGCCAACTTTAGTAAATATTAAAATTTGTACTGATAATTGCAATTTGAAATGATATATTTTCAAATATCTCTCTCACTCTGCATGCCAGATGAAAACTGGAAGTCTGTCTCGACACAGTTGATGATCCTGTTCAAATCAAATTTTCCCATCCTTAACATTTATCGCCAATAATTCACCCAAAAAAACATAATTTAAAACATTTTCAAAATAGAGGTTATAGACCTGGATCTCGCACTTTTCCTGGTATGTGAATTTTTTCAGTAGAGTAAATGATTTTCGAAAAAATACTTGTTTTCTGAAACCATGCACTAGTCATAATAGTAAATGACACACTGTATGTGATAGACAAAAACCATAAATACAAAAGTTGTAGCTATTACTGCAGTCTACAATACCATCTAAACCAATTAGCCATATTTTTGAGGAATTTTGATTTACGGCTAATAATTTACTCTGGAAAAGAACAATATTCAGGGTCTATTAGATTTTTGTCTGTAATTGAAAAACCCTGTATATAATCGAAAAAAACCATTGAAGTACAAATTATAGTCCCGAGTATCCTGGTTCAAGAATTTTGCCGACCGATTAAACAGATTTCGAGAAAAATAGTTTTTTCAAAATTCTCAAAAAAATGTTTTTTTTTTATTTTTTTTTAAAAATACTTGGCGACATTTTATTGCGCCCAACTTCTAAAGTTTAAATGTGGTTATAGACTTCAACATTCCTGCCAAATCTGAGTCCATGGCTGCACATTTAAGACACCTACTATATTTATATTATAGCACGAAATATCCTGAATACGCCGTACGATATGTGAAAACCTTAAATACGAAAGTTTTAGCTGTCCATATTGGCCATATAGTCGTATGAAAGAAACTGACAACAAGCTAATTTTGCAAATTACCGACGCACCCTGTACGTTTTTAAAAAATCATCAAGAATAAAGGTTTTTGGTCCGAACTTCGCGCGCCTTTTAATTCAAATATTTTTTCGATCGTATTTTTGAGAAATGAGGTTTTTCTCGGGACCCTGCAAATGTTTTTAAATTGTTAAAAATACTTCCCGACCCCTCAGTCTCCCCAATTTCAATATGTTCCGTAAGGGAGCTAAGCTCCATGTTTATGCCAAATTTGAAGTGGATGGCTGCAAATTTTGGACACTTATTGTGTTTCATAGCGATGTACGAAAAACAGAGGAAAATCGCGAGAAAAAGATGGACTTTTATGTACCTCGCGGGCCGTTTAAAAGCTAAGCTATTCCGAAGTTTTTTGCGTTTTTATGAAAGATAACGGAGAGCGGACAGACAAAAAAAAATTCTTTTCAACGCTGATCATTTCTGTACCAATGATGCTCCCCTAGGACCTACCGTTGCCGAGATATGTTTCGTTGCCAATCACGTATGTAGGTAACTAATGTATAAATTTTATTCTAAATCAGTTATTTAAATAGTCCTGATGAACCAAAATTATTTTACCAACCTCATAAGACGTCGTAAAATACCATATCTAGTAACTCTCTGTTAAATATGAAACCCCATTTTGGAAGGCTAATCAACTTTTTTGTTTAATATGTTCTTATTGTTCCTTTTTTTTTTTTAGTATTCAATCAGGTATTCAGACGGAAGACCACCCAAACCCGGGACGAGAGTATTATGCGGTAGGTTTCCCGCGAGTGGCTTATCTCCCAGATAGCCCCAAGGGCAGAAAAATCTTGAGACTTCTTAGTGAAGCCTGGCATCGCAAGCTAATATTCACGGTTGGTTCATTTGAACTATTTTTTTGACTTTAATGTTGATAAACCGGCAATATTTAAACAGGTAAGCAGGTCCAACACAACCGGATGCGAAGATGTTGTGTCCTGGAATATACCCCACAAGACTGAGATAGGGCCGAGCAACAGTAACCACAGTTATCCTGACGCAGGATACCTCAACCAAGTGTTGAGAGAATTGGAGGCGTTGGGTGTGGTTGAAGAGCGACGTGAAAAGAATTAGAAGGAATTTAATTATGTGTTTTTTTTTTGTGGAAAAGATCTACATAGATATATGTATATTTTTTGAAAATTTTATTATATAAAATGGATACTCTCTAATCTGTTGTACAATTTCAGAGTTTTTATCATTTTGAATGCAATATTTACAGTTTTAATATCTATTCTTTTTTATAGCTTTAAATCAAGAGTGGTATATAAATGTAGAAAAAATTAATCTGTTGGAGAAGATGGTGATATGGTGTGAATATAAATTGATATTCCTGAAGAGTATTTAAATCATGTGACTGAAGATAGTATTTTTTTTTACAAGAAGTGGGAACAACAATTGTAATTAAGTCTTTGGGTACTGTTAGCATAAGAATTATTGTTACTAAGCAGCTGTTATGGCGATTTGCAAAAATCGTCTAATTGGAATGATGTGCAAGTACAAATAATTTATTGTATACCATTTTTATGCGGGAGGTTGATGGGCGAAGTTTCAATCTCCTATTCAAAAAGTTAGGGTTGGTTCTTTTTAACCAAGTTAATATTAGCCAAATAAATAATTAGGAAAAATGGGTGGCCAAAACCTCTTTAATATAACTGTGTTTTAGAGGATTTCTGCTGTAGATATGTCGTCAAATAAATCTGTTTTAATGTTTCTTTTTCTGTTTATAAGAACATCCTGGGTGTGTTGCCTGCGCGGGGGGGGGGGGGGGGGTACCAGATAATATTGCATTAAAAAATTGCAACTTATATGAGTAAAAATTATCGAAACTTTAAAAATTTGCGTTAAAAACTTCTAAACAACATACAGGGCTTTCCATTTTTAAAAAAACGTATTGCCTTAATTCAACTTCAAGAAGTTTTAAGAAACATTTGGTGAATAGAATATTTTTTCCAGAAAGTATTGCAACTAAATAGTGACGCATAAAGTTATCAGCTATTTTTACTGCTAGCTATCCAAAATTATGAGATACTTAATGAGGAAATTATTGTTTAGAAAAAGTCAACAAGCTTATCAAGAAAATTCCAATAACTCCAGAAAAAAATTAGCATAAATTTTTACGTTCTTAACTATAGTAGTGGAGATTCGTTACTTCTTCACCCTCGGTCCCGGAGGGAATCTTGTGTTGGCGAAATTACAAATTCCTAACCAAAGTTGTGCTGCTATTGATTGGATAAGAACACCACAAACAACTCAACAAATAGTATATTTAAGGTTAGAAGGAAATATAAGTTTGGAACGATTTTGCTGAATCTCAAATAATTTCACAAACAAAATTAATCGTTACTAGGAATTTGCCTAATTACTGAGAGTAGTGTTATAATGATCCCTATGAAAAATTATTTTTCTAAAACTACTTATTTGTATAGAGTTTGCATTGCATTACAATTGCATGTAGAAAATACAGGCTTCTCTAATATTTCTTCCAAATAACCTTTCGGAATATCGTAAAGTTAATAACTCAAACAGTATCAATTGCTTTTGGCACATGGAAATCGTATGCCGGTCCCTCTTAAATTCTTTTCAATCCACTCGTCTGCCTCCCTATTCAGTTTTTCGTCGAAATAATCTTTCCAGCCTCCGGTCTTGCCCTTTCGGATGAAATCACCCTCGGTCGACAAGAAAATCCCCAAATCCTTGAGGATATCGTAATTGACGGACTTATTTTGACGAAAGTTGTCAATCCTCAAGTGCTCCTCTAATTTGTCTAACTGGTCATTGGTGTAAGACTGTTCCAAAAAGTTTGCCACTTGAACCAGACCATTTCTTGGATTCTAGAACAAAACTTAGTATTAAGTTTCTGACGCGTACTATTCCTTTTAAAGCCGTTTTCAGTCATTTATATAAACGATACAACTACCTTGTTCATATCTTCGTAGAACATAAAAAGCATATTTTTTTCGTGTTTCCTGCTCCAGCCCTCCTTTATGTGTTCCCAATATGGAGTCCATGGCTCTACAATCGGAAATAATATGATTATTTTTCCAAAACATTAACCGAGAACTCACGTAAATTGTTTTGGAAATAAGCCCAATATTTCGGGAAATCTCCCGTGTACCCTTGGGTCCTAATGGACCTGTTTAAGTGGTAAAACGACACGGCTACGTCTTTCGGGTTTCTTGCGATATAGATGACCTAAATTAAAAAAATTCCCATTCAAACGGGCGCTAGTCTGTTGCAGAATTGCAAAGAGTAATAATAATATGGAGAATCGCTTCTACGGAGAAGCCAAAATAGTTTTTTTTTTGTTCTCAAATTTTCGAACTAAAATATTTGGCACGATCGAACATTGCCGCTTCTAACACTGCTATGCTATCGTCGTTAACATAAAATAGTATATTATACAACAAGTGCGGTAAACGGATTTGACTCACGAGTTTATTTGACACGAGCGGAGCGAATTTGTGTTGTTTTGCGAAAATGTACCCAAAAATTAATGGTCGTAATAACCTTTTTAACTCACTCGTTTATTAAAAACTCGTGAGTCAAATGCCGTTTACCGCACTTGTTCTGAACATGGGAAATTTAAATGTTATTTCAGTAACTAACCTTGCAGCCCACTTTCAACAAATCCGGAGGCAATAGGCTGAATGGCAGGTGAGTCTTAATGAATCGCCTATCAGGAGCATGAGATAATGATTTCCACGCTGGATAGTCTATTTGTTTTACTAATTTGCTTTTCTCGGGGTCGTGCTTGTTTTCTTTCAAAAACTGAGCCTTGGTATCCGGGTGGACAAAACAGTTAAATCTGAAGAGTGAAAAAGCAATAACAGCTTTGAGTTTTTGTTATTGTTACGAAAACATTTTTATTTTAGAGTAACAGCGACTCGGTACGCATTGAAACACTTAAATTTCTTTAAAAAAATACTTAACAAGAAAAGAAAAACTTACTCTAAGAAAGGAACTCTCTCTGTAAGGGGGAGCTGGCTAGCATGGGCAAAATCTAAATTGTTGCACAACAGCCAGACCATCTCTTGAGTCCATGTGGTTCCTTAAAAAATATTATGCTTATGTTTATAGAGCTGTATCCAATCCGAAACTGAATTTGAAAGCAAGTGTCTAGAAGCTATCCGGCTAAGATAATGTTTTCCTATGTTTCCCAAATATTTTGAATATAATTTGAATAAAAATATTAACACTGACACAAAATAACAGAAATTACCATACGTCAAGTAAATTAATTCAAGAATTATCATGTTATTGGCAAAAAGTCAATACCAAATTTTGATTCCGCCTCTTTGCTAAATCACCTAATTTTTAATAAGACATATTTCCAAAAAAAAATACTTTTGGGCATAGAGCTTAGTATACGGTGTGGTTATTTAAGTGTGAACATAGGGGATGTTTTTTCTCTTTATAATAAAAATGTAAAATAAAGATTTTGCACTTTGGAGTTTTTTTAATATAAGAGTAATAATCTAATAATTATAATAAATAATATAACATAAGAAGAACTTTTCCAAAATTGTATTTATAATCGTTTTAACCATACCATGTAGTTCGTTGCCTATAAAAATAAGAAAAAAACGATCACTTTAAAAAGTCAAATAGAGCGCAATTTTTTTGGACACATTTAAAAACGGTTAGTCTAAATAATTATTTAAACTAATTTATTTCCGACATAGGAAGGATCTATAATAGTATATTATGCAGTAAGTTTGCAAAAAAGGCCGTGGAGAAAGTCAGCAATGTCTTCAACGTCACTTACGACCCTTAATTTTTGGGTATACATTTGGGCACGAATACGGTCACTATATAAGTGAAGTGTGACATAATCCATGACGTCTTAAAGTGGCACTTTCCGAGATGGGAATGATCTTTCGCGCGTAATCTGCACTTTGCATGATTTTTTTTCGAAACAGCGATCTCCACACACACTTAACTTGTTTTCCCGAACAGTTAACCAGATCTAAGCATAATTTTAGACAATACTGCCCTAAACATGCTACATCTAAACTGAAACCTGTTGAATTGACGAACTGTCAGCGGCCATATTGGATATTGAACGCCGCTAGCTCTTATTGGTTGGAAACGACGAATGGCCTCGTATGCGCATATTAAATAACTCATCTCAATATTTTTGTTATCGTCGCTTTCAAAATTCCTGTATTATCGGTTACCTGATCTAGGGAACGTAATTATAAAGACATCATCGGGGCGCAGTTCGAAGTTATAAAAATTCTCCGCTTCTTTCGCATAACCGCTCGGGAAAAACCATTTCTTCGGTCCGACTTGCACGAATCCCGTTTTCTCCCCTGGCGCGTTAAACAAATATAAAAAAACAACCATTCTATGCTACAAAATCCATATACTTTACCGGTAAAACACGTAAGCAGTTCCGAATTGATTTCCGGATCGACGCATTTGATTTCGTATGGGAACGGCCTCTTTTTATCGGTGATTTGATTCGAATTTCGATCTATCAATTCGTCTTCGATGTAACGCAGCATGATTGTCAAAGAGCTCGACGAAGAGAATGACGCTGGCGTTACGAAAATTTCACTTCGCCGAAAATAAGTTCGCGTGAACGAAAATTTCACTTCCTAGCCCCGAAAACGACGAGAGAGATTTTTTAACGGTTTGTTAAGAAAATGCGGCACATTTAGCGAGTCGATCGAACGTATTGTCGCAGTACATCTCATCGCCTACGTTGTAACAATTGTCTACATATCGCAATAGCACCGTGGTTAGCTTGATCTTGAATTTGTTGCAATTGCAATAATCATTGCGGTGAAAGTATTTCTTTGATTTTAATGACACGCAATTGTTGGCTAATAGTCGGAGATTTATTTAACACGAGCATATTTACCGGGTGGCAAATTACAGGGTGTCTCTCAATTTTTTAAGGAAATGAGTGAAAATTAATGGTAATTAGTTGAAGTATAGTCCTAATTAGTGGTCGTTAGTGGAATTATTGGTAATATATGGTAATTTACGAACATGTTGGATGTAATTATGGAAATTTTTGTGGTTCAAAACACATGGGATATACCCCAAGAAATATCCCAAATTTGGTTCTGTGGAAATGGAAAAATATGCTGGTAAAGCTCACAAGAAAATTTATAATGAAGTAATTCTTTTTTTAAGTCAGCGCAAAAAAGTGACGTCGTTTAAATAAATAAGGAGCATATTTTTTTATTAACCTCTTAACTATTAAATGTAAACAAAATATATTAAGTTCGGAAAGAATAATCCTTATCCAAAAAAAATGTCATACCTATTTTACTTATTTATCTATAAATCTATTTTTTCATTAATTTAGTTCAATAAGTAACATATTTTGGCAGCGATTTTGTGTACTGCCGTGTTCTACTCTTCGTCCTATTTTTAATATTGCTCTATTACATATTTACAAAAATTCTGGATTCTTTGGGCGTCGGTAGTTGTTGAGTTGCGTTGTTAGGTTGAAAATAAAAATTCAAGATTTGTTGTACATTAATAAAACTAAAAAATATTATCATTATTTCTCAAATTTCAATTTTGCATAAAAACTTACTCAAAATCACATTTGAATTACAGGCTTGGCAGTTTAAATAAGAAAAGTTAAAGTGTTAAGGCTTAATAGCGAAAATTGAACCTTATATTTACAAATTAAAGAGCAAAAAAACTATGATAATAATAATAAAGAACAGGAGTTTAAAGAACCAGAGTTAAAACTGAATATGAATAAAGGTGGTGCATTGCCCAGTTAAACATCTGTCGTTTGATTGAAAATTTTGATTAGATCAGATTGCCTGATTTCTCATAGTCACGCTGATATCCAGGCCAGTCCAGATGGGGATCGGATTTTCCCTGTGAGGTAATTGCTGGAGCCGTTACATGAATCGTTCATCATTTTATGATTAATTATTTAGAACTTCATTCCACTGCTTGAATAAGTTAACACAGATGCTTTCTTTATGACGGCATCCTTTATTCATTTTCACTTATTGTTTTGAATATATATATATATATATATATATATATATATATATATATATATATATATATATATATATATATATATATATATATATATATATATATATATATATATATATATATATATATATATATATATATAAGCTAGCCGAATGACCTTTAGTAGTCGTAGCCATTAGAAGTAAATCAACAACAGGTGTAAATGTTTTAAAGCATGTTCTGCTTGCTTGGAGCCAGCCCTTTACCATGAACGAATTACGTCCATAATTGTTCCTGTGGTACGGTATAAAAAATGCATCTTAAAAAGTATCATTTGACAGAATAGAGGGTAATTTATGAGGACTAAATTTAGTTTTGGTTAGTCCCTTGCGTAAAATACCTAATTATACACAGTGCAGACGCAGATCCGACCCCCTTCGGACATTTCCGGGATTTTACCGCATAGGTTTGAGAGCAATAGAATGTTTTCGGAGATTTTACTGCACGGCTTCAATTTTAATGTTTGTCAATTCTGACGCTCATATCAGTAAATAAATTCATGTTGTTTTGCAAATATTTACCCAGAAGCTAACGGTCGTGGAAAAAGTATAGTATGCAACAGGTTGTGTAATAGTATGTGCAGTAAACGGCATTTAACTCAAGAGTTTATAAATATAAACGGGTGCCTTAAAAAGCTTTTCTACTCCCGTCTGTAATTGTATATTATGCAACAAGTGCGGTAAACGGCATTTGACGCACGAGTGTTTAATAAACTGTTTAAGTTCATAGCTTTTGTAGACTCTTAGTGTTTCCTATTTTTAATTCCTATTTTTTATTTTACTTTTAATTTGATCCATTTTTTATTTACAGACTTTATTATTTTACATTTAAAAAAGCAAGTACCTCTAATTCATTTAATCACACCTCAGGCACAATTAGATTAGTTTTTCTTGCATTGTAAAATCTTACAGCTATTTACAAAGTGCAATACAATACAATAAAAATCATTAACAGATCAATTTAATTAAAGTGGTTGAGCGGTAGCATAGTTGTGGCCACCAGCCTGAGCCGTTCCTTGCGTCGAAGGCCGGTCAAGATCTTCATATGATTCAGATCTAGTTTCGGTAAACATATTTGAAATATTGGCTAAAAAGTGAAATTAAAAGTTAAATATTTGTTGTGGTGTAAACATTAAGACAAACCAGTATTGCCTCCTCTCTCCTCTAAGTTTGCAACTAAAATGTATATAGAAAATGGTCTAATAATTAAGTGAAAAATAGCCATAGCTGCCGAAAACCTATCACGGGCATCTAGAACAATAGTTATACACAAACAAGATCAATATACCTAACTAACCGCATATTATCCAAACTCACAGTCAGAAGTTGGAAAACACATTACGAGCAACAAAATATCCAATAATATAGAAGTTGCATTGACGACTATCGCCTAAAATAATGGAACAAAAAAAAAGCTATATTAACAGTCCCGAAGTATCATTTACCAGCTGAAGATGCTCTTGCCTCTGTGTGTTTAATATACTCGATATTAAGAGTAAAATAAACAGGCAATTATAGAATAAATACGACTGGGGATGCCAACGTCCCATCAAGCTCAGGGACATAAATATAAAATGGATTAAAAATACAACCTAAAAAAATAAGTATAAATCTCTTAATTCTTACTTCGAGAGTAGATAACAATCTTACTTTTACATTTAAATTTGGTATAGGCGGTAAAGAAGGCATCCTAAAAAACTTATAAACTGAAACACAAAAACAAGGAATTCCCACTCTTTAAAAAAACACAATATCACAGTAGGTAGGTTAACTTATCACAAACCAACCATTCTATATTCTTGCACAAGGTTGTTCTATATTCAAAGGTTTACCTTGGATTAACAATGATAAGTTCACAATTTTTTGTGGCAACAGTAGCACTGTAAGCAGCATTCGTTTTAACCACTGATTTATAATTATGAGGTCGTTTACCCCATTTTATCCATTTATACGATTGGTTATATGGTTTTATCAGATTTTTATCTTCTCATGTACGGTCACAAAGTTGTCATTTATTTGCTGTTCTATTCCAGCAAAAAACCAATGAAATTCCAAAAATACAGACATTACGCTGAATTTTGCATCGTTTTCGAACACTAGGCAAACACCAAATTCATAAATGAACGATGAAAGGTCAGTGAATCCTGGACAACAACTTTTTAAGTTTACAGCTCACACACGGTCGATTATTCCTGAACGCGGTTCTGGCATAACATTTGGGAACTGAGTACATTTGAACTACCACCAAACCTAATTAAATTAGTAAACGTCATCAATCCGCATTCCCTTTTTTCTTTTTCTTATTTGTTTGTGTTTGTCCGATAATACACTTTAGACTTTGACTCACGTCCTTTAAGATAATTGTAATTTGGTTATCGTTCATTTTCGACTTGCCGTTTCATATATCACAGATCTTTTTTCTATTACGAAAATGATTAACACAGGGTAAGGGCAGTTTTCTTCATGTTCTTAAATTCGAAAATAGATATAAAAATTAAAATCAATTTGAAGGAAGTTATCAGGACTTACAGTTCTAATCACTGGAGCCAGTCGGGGTATTGGGAAGGCTATTGCTTTAAAGGTTGCTAAAGACGGGGCCAATGTAATTATAGCAGCGAAAACGGCGGAACCTCACCCAAAACTACCGGGGACCATTTATACTGCAGCAGAGGAGGGTATGTTTGCCACCAATATAATAATTTCCAATGAATTCTCATCCTATATGCATTTCAGTTGAGAAGTCAGGTGGCAAAAGTTTACCCTGTATAGTAGATGTGAGAGATGAGGTGCAAGTGAAAAAAGCAATAGAAGAAGGAGTTAAGAAGTTTGGGGGTATCGATATTCTTATCAACAATGCTTCAGCAATATCTTTAACTGGAACTGAAGAGACTGAAATGAAGCGATATGACTTAATGCATAATATTAATACAAGGGGGACATTTCTGATGTGAGTAATGGTTGCGTAAGGTTCAGTTCATTATGGGCAATTATTGTTTTTTGTTTATTGATATGACCTTGGTCTCAAACATGGTATTTAAGTTTGTTGTAAGTTGTGAAATGATGAAGCAAAATGTTAAATATTAAGAAATTATAACCCTATTTTATTAAAAAGAGAGGAAGTGCAAATCAGAAAGTTATTATCACATTGCAGGTCTAAGGAGTGCTTACGCTATCTTAAAAAAAGTAAACATGCTCATATCTTGAATTTATCTCCGCCACTCAATATGCAACCTCACTGGTTTAAAAATCATGTTGCCTACACCATGGCCAAATATGGCATGTCTATGTGTGTCTTAGGGATGCATGAGGAACTAAAACCTTTCAACATTGCTGTCAATGCACTGTGGCCTCGAACAAGTAAGACATGATGGGTGTAAACTTCTGCAAGTTACTGGAAAGTGCATTTTAGTGATTTATACTGCCGCAAGCGATTTGCTTTTGGGCAATGAATCCTCTCGGTACTCCAGAAAACCAGAAATAGTGGCTGATGCCGCTTATGCCATACTTACGAGGGATCCGAAAACTGCTACAGGAAACTTTTATATTGATGATGAGGTTATAATTTATATTAAACTTATTTTGAGATTATAGAATTTACAGTTTTAGGTATTGCAAGCTGAAGGTATTACAGATTTTGCACAGTATGCCTGCGATCCAAACAATCTAGAAGGGATAATCCAAGATCTATTTGTGGGTGAGCAGCCTCCTCCATCTTTAACTGCTCAAAAGAGTCCCTCTGCGGCATCCAATGAATTGACGGGAGAAGTTGGGAAAATATTCAATGCTATCAAAAGCAACATTTCAGCTGAAACAGTGTCAAAGACGCAAGCTGTGTATGAATTTGTAGTCACAGGAGATGAAGCGGGAAAATGGTATATTGATTTGAAGACTGGGGAAGGTGCTTGCGGACAAGGTGAACCGCCATCTCAGCCGGACGCTACTCTAACGATGGACAGTAAAAATTTCTTCAGTTTGTTCTCTGGAAAGTTGAAACCAGCCACTGCCTACATGACCGGAAAGTTGAAGGTCAAGGGTAACTTGCAACAAGTTATGAAGCTTGAGAAACTCATGGGGAAAATAAAAAGTAAACTTTAAGAAGTTAAGTGCATCTTTGTTTATTTATATTTTTTAAAGTCTGTATTTTAAAGTTGTTATTATAATTATCGGAATATGTTATGGAAATTTTATATTAAATTTTTTAATTGCAATTTGGTATATATTAACCCCAAAATTTAAAAATTGAGAAAGAAAATGTGTCTGCCTTTCGAAAACTTGTAATTTTCAGCTGAGGATTGAATAGTCTGCATTTTAGCATTTCAACTAGGTAAATACTAAATGGGAAATAGGGACATAATGCATTTCCAATGGAACAACATTTAAAACCGAATTAATAAAATTGCATTGTTATCTATGAATATGAAAAAGGAAAAAAGTCAGAGGAAAATTAAGCAAAACAGTTTTGAGGCCCATAGCATTGTTTGGGAGGGCTATGTATCGCAGTGAGCAACAAAAGCTTGCAGAATAGGAATAAAAGTACTTGCGAAAAACATATAAAAGCAAGGTGAATGATGAATAGAAATGAAGAAGCAATATGGAATAACAAGAACCATTCGATAACCGGACATTGTATGGACAATCAACAGATTAAGATAGTTAATTTGTGCTACTTTTTACAGAAATTTGCCGTAATTTTGGAACCGAAGTTTAGAAATAAAAAGGTTAACTGTCTTCTAGAATAATTGATAAAATACATGGCGTTTCATTATTAAAAAAAACACTTTTCTCTAGTTTTTGAATTCGTATAAAAGAAGGTTTTCGTCCTTTGATTTGAAAAAAAGCTAGCTCAACACAACTTTAACACATTCAATGTCAATCACCTGCATAGATGGGTCAAAAGAAGACCAAGTGAAAAGCAGTTTTTATGACAACATAATTTATTTTAATCAAACAAATTTAAAAGGAGCAATAGTTGTTTTATGAAGATTCGGAAGGCTGTAACAAACGCCCTTGGGTTATGGTAAATTTTATTGATTTTTTATTTTGTAACCAGTGAAAGGATGAGTTGACAAAGGATCACAATTTACCAAGCAACCAATTAACGCACCAATTTGATTCGACATTTTGGTAGAAAATCCAATAGAAAATATACAACTACCTAAGCGATTGTTTCATAATAAAATATTTACCGTTTTAATGCACATTTCTCTATATTACATCGTCGGCCGACACTTTCTTACATTCATTTTAAGCAACACATTAACATGATTGGGAATGCTATATGGGAACGAAAGACTTGGGAGTTAATGAAGTCTTGTTTCCATGACTTCTTTTCAGTAAGTACCCTGTAAAGCCCAGCTTTGAATGGACAATTCAATGTTTCATTTCAAAAAACCGCAAGATAATTTCTTTGGCCGGCAAAGTTTTCTCTTTATAATCTACAGATTTTATATTTTTACGTAACAGTTTCCATTCCCTCATTTTTTTATTGTAAAGCAAGACTTTTGAATTCTCTAGTAACTTCGTATACACATGTATAAGTCCTCTGTAATCATACTCTAAACCCGAATACGCCTCACCAAATAACTTTAAATTTATCTCAATTGAACGCAAATACAATTTTTCAGCTTCATCATAACGTTTCATATGGTAATTGAACAGAGATGCCAGGTGACCAACACTGAGACCTACTTCATAATCATCTTTTCCTAACAACTCCTCTTTGATTGCTATAGCTCTCTGATGCATCTGTTCTGCTTCATCATAGAACCTCATGCTTTGGTATAACCTACCCAAATTGCCAAAATGCTTTGCAGTTTGGACATTTTTTTCCCCAAAGGCTGTATAAGAAAGTTCTAAAGCAGCTTTGTGTAAAGATTCAGCTGTCTTAAGATACTCAATTTGTCGCCTAGTATTTAAATGTTCATCTAGTGCAATTTCTTCCAAAATCAATGCCTTGACTCGCTTTACAGATGCTAACATTAAATGATCCTTGACTAATATTTTTTCCATTATGCTGATAGATGTTTCCACATGTTCTCTGTAATGAATGCACTATTAAATATTACTTGGCCATAAAATTCCTGACCTACCTTGCTAAAAAAAAATTGCCGGAACTGTATTCACACACATAGAGTGCATAAGCCAGATCTTCATGAGCTAGGGCCACTTTAATGTTGTATTTATCAAATATGTCCGATCTTAATTTTAACACCTGCTTATAAATATCCACACTTTCTTCTATGGAGTCATAGTTCAAAAGATAAAAGGCATAATCCAGTAAGACATCTGATGCGCAGGGTAAATTTTCAGTTTGTAGTATGAAATTTGCTATATTGACAGCCTGGCGGATAAGAAGCCCTGCTTTATTGAAATATCGCTTTATCACACAAGACTTGGAAGCCTGACTCAACACTTCCATCCGGACACTAGAAAATAATCACTTATTTTACCATTATCTCATTTTTTATGTACTTTGTCCAAGCAGAAACAGACTTTGGCCGCAGTTGGCACAACAAGAAGTCGCGAAAGCAAAAGGATCACATTATGGAAAAATGATGATCACCACTCATGTAAATATAGTGCATTCAACAACATTTCTTACACCACACAGTCCTAGCAGACTATTTATCACTATACCTTGTGGCTAAGTGGAGTATGCAAAATGAGTGCTGGCTGGTATGGCTGACCGGTTCAGCTTTGACAATTAACATCGCAAAAGAAACTAACCAAATAACTTCTTGGTGCTGTACACGCGGCCAATCAATAAATAAACTATAGATTATTGGAAGAAAGAAACTAAAAAGATGAATTGAAAAAAAAAACAGTTTCTACAAATTTAAGATTGAATGAAGAAATAATCAAAATAATACCAAATTCACTGCTTACCGCAAAGGCAAATTATCAGAGAGATTTTCCAGAGCTTTTTCTGACCAAGCATATGCCTAGAAATAATAATGTAATTTCCAGAATCAGTTTCTACATCCCTCGACCCCACTTACCTCATTATATTCGCTATGAATAAAATACATTAAAGAATAAGTTGAGTACAAGCTGGTTAGATTTGGAAGAGAGTTCAGTTGTTCTAGTTTTGCCACAATTTTTTGTGAAGCTTTGTATGATTTTTCCGCATCACTAAACTGACAGTTTTGAGATTCTGCATATATTTTCCTGAAAGAACACAAAAGAAACAATTCGCCTATAGGTACCACAAAGAAACTTACATCTGGTATGTTTCAAGTAATTTCTTTAAAGAAATGTCATCTTCTCCAATTTGCTGGCACATAGTTTCAGTGCCTTTTAAAACCTCTATGGCGGGTACATACCACCCTCCTTCATTTAGAAAATATGCTAATCTAAGCCCTACATCAATAACAGAGATATTTGGAGGTTTATTCTTTTGATATTTAATATAACTCTGTATGAGACTGTCAACATTAAATCGGCCATGATCTATAAGTGTTTGAAAACATTTTAAGAGTTTGCACCTCTTCTGTTTGACGTAAAGTAAACGATCAAAAACGTTAATATCCGCGAATTCGGATGCTAGGAGACACAATCTGTTCTCAGAAAATATCTAAAACGGATCTATTTTATGTACATAGTACATTTTAAAAACGAACTTACAGTATAATAATAATCGAGTAGCACATTATTTGGTAAAATTCGAAAATTTTTCCTACAGGCCTTACAAAACGAAATCGTTTCCCCAACTGCAGCTGTGAGACACATCTGATACAAGCTCGGGGGACTGACTGGCATTGTGCAATTAATTTAACCCTCTACATGGAAAACGCCAAAAGAAAAATGAAACTTCTAACAAAAATAAATTTACTTTCACTAACAAAAATAAGATTTGTATTATCACATAATTATCCACTTGTCGACCTGTCAAGATCATATGGTATGCACCATTTCTGCCAATACATATCAAAATTTACCAAGCTCTATTATCTATGCGAGAGGGCCACTGTCCAACATATCTATGGATCCTTAAGATTCAAAAGCACCAGTTTAAAGGGTAAAATGCTTCTGCAGCCTTAAAATGACTTTTTTGAATTTTTTAAATTAGATTATCGACGGTTTAAGGCTATAATATCAGCATCCACAATGGAAGAATAGTTGCATCACTTCTGATCCGGAAAAGATAAAAAAAGCCGGAGACATTTATTCTGTGGTGATGTTGTGGTGGAGCATTGCAGCGCGGCGGTTTAACCTCCGCGGTGGTGATTGTTTTTAAGTGTTTAAGTTCTGCTGGCCCCGCTGTTTTGACCGTTCACGCGGGTTAGTGGCCGGATGGACCCGGTTGGTCCTTTGGGGGGCGGGGGAGATCGGTTGTTTTTGGTATCGGTTGGTTGGTTATATTTCTTCTTTATGTGTTGAACTTCAAAGATTAGTCTCCTTCATTGGAGAAGAACCGAATATTCTCGATGGAAGTCGGCAATGGGCGAATGATCACCGTAGTCTGCCTAACAGAAATTGTGAAACGAATAATTGACTTGACTTGATTATCTATGGATGGATTATTTTAAAAATCGTTCAAAATGTGGAGAAATTTTCAAAATCTTGTTGGAAAATGTGTAAATAACCAAATATGTTCCTTAAAAGTGTGGGAGAAGTATACAACATGGGTGTAATAGATCATTGCGTCGTTTTATATCCATTTCCTTTTAGTTTTCCCAAAAATCTAATTAAAACAAATCCGAATATCAGAGGCATCAGGGTTTCAACTCCATCGTTGATGTTTATACAAACGCAGGAAACGCCAAATCCTAATAGTTTGAAGTTTATTCCAGGAAATCAAGTTTTGGAACCTGGACAAACTATGGATTTTCCAAGAGTTCAAGATGCATATTGCAGTCCACTGGCTAAGTTATTGTTTCGGATTGATGGCGTTAAAAGTGTATTTTTGGGTCCAGATTTTATAACAATTTCGAAGGCAGATGATGAAACAGAGTGGAAAATTTTAAAACCTGAAATATTTGCTACAATTATGGATTTTTTTGCTAGTGGCTTACCAGTTCTCAGTGAAGGCAAACCTAATTCAGATACTCGTAAGTAATATTGTGCATGTTAATAAATATTACACAAAGTTCTGCACAGAGATTCACGAAGATGATGATGAAACTGTCCAAATGATTAAAGAACTACTTGACACAAGAATTCGGCCCACAGTTCAGGAAGATGGAGGTGGGTTTGATTTAAAATTTGACTTAAAAAAAATCATTTTGTCAATGCATCTTTTAGGGGATATAGTATTTATGGGGTATGATGATGGGGTTGTCAAATTAAAAATGCAAGGATCATGCACTAGTTGCCCTAGCTCTGTGGTAACACTGAAAAATGGAGTACAAAATATGCTGCAATTTTATATACCCGAAGTAGTGGCAGTGGAACAAGTTTTTGATAAAGCTGATCTTGTGTCTGAAACACATTTTGATAATGTGGAGAAAATAATTAAAGAAAATTCAGCAGAAAAGTAAACCTCAAATTTGATGTAATTACTGTACATATTTTGATTTATTTTAATATATACTATACATAAATATTGACTTACTTGCTTATATACTTATTTGTCACCATTTGAAGTAATTCTCTACAAACTCTATGCTATTAATTTGTTTATGCGCTAGGTTTATTCCACATGCAATATGTAGAAGGTTACCTTTTTTCGTTTTCATCATTCTCATGTAACTAACCAAAACCATGGAATTCATAAAATCTGTTCTTTGTTGCTCATGGAATTTTGCATTTGTCTTGTGTCATTCTACTTTTTTGTTTTATTTTTGTATAAGAAAAATTAACTTATTCACCACATATAAAAATAAAAAATAAAATGAACGACACCACGTTCACAAGAGGAGAAATAATAAGTTTAGTTGTTAGGTTAACTTTGGTGTCGGCAGTTACATTTTGGAGTGTAAAATGGATTATAAATCAGATAGATCCAACCAATAAAACAAAAAAGAAAGCTAGGCAAACCGCAGAAGCACAATTAAAGAGGTATTTAAAAAAATATATTTAAATGTCTAAAGTAATTAATCATATATTTCGTTTAGAATAGCCAGTCCAATCCCGATTAATGAACTCAATGATTATGAAATGATGATAGCGGCACACTTGGTTAACCCTGTCGATATTAAAATAAGCTGGCATGACATAGCAGGACTCGACAACTTAGTACAAGAGTTACGGGAAACTGTTATATTTCCAATTCAAAGAAAGGACCTTTTCAGTGATTCATCTTTGACAACTGCTCCTAAAGGTAAAATTAATGGACATTGTCCAGTGTAATGTATTTAGCCATCATATCACGGGGTACAATTAATATATAGATACCTAATGGAGTTTTTGTTACAGGAGTATTACTACATGGTCCACCTGGTTGTGGAAAAACTTTAGTTGCTAAAGCCACAGCTCGAGAGGCAGGAACTTATTTTATCAACCTGGATCTTTCTATTCTAACGGACAAATGGTATGGAGAAAGTCAGAAATTAGCTGCGGCTGTGTTTACTCTGGCCGTTAAACTACAACCCTGTATCATATTTATCGATGAAATTGATTCGTTTTTGAGAGCCAGGAGTAGTTCTGACCATGAGGCCACTGCTATGATGAAAGCTCAGTTTATGTCACTTTGGGACGGGTTGATTACTGATACCAGTTGTACTGTAATTGTTATGGGTGCCACTAATAGACCACAGGTATAAACATATTTTGGTAGTTAATGATGAATAAAAAAAATATATTAAAATTGATTTATCATAGACTTTAGCGATGGCAGCAAATTCCAATTAGCTTTTAACACACCTTGCAAAGCCAGATTTTAGTACTTAATAATTAATACAATTTAACAATGAACCGATAGTAATGTAACCATTCACCCTTATTGTATTATTTTACATATATTTAACATTTGGTTTTAAACGGTGAGAACCATATAAGTGATATACGGAAAGGTGTATTCATGTAGAACTAAACATACTTCATTCTTCAAAATACCTGTTTGCCCCTAGAGCATTTCTGTTTAGATCCACTCCTCATAGGCTACCTTGAGGTGCCCTATATAAAAATCATGCAACTTTTTACTATCTGTAGAACTGTAAATAATGCTTTATGGAGTTTTTTTCAAAATTGGAAGAGTTGCATTGTTTTTTGATTATATAGATTCTCAATTCTCTTGAATTTTATTTGAAGGGTACAATTAAATAAACAAGATAAAAGGAAAACATACCTAAAAGTTTGTGGTTGATAAATAGTAAGACCAGCAAGGTACGATCTGTTTTGACTATAGTTTTGATTTTTTAGGATCTAGATAAAGCAATATTAAGAAGAATGCCTGCAACTTTCCATGTTCCCATGCCCAACCTGGCACAGAGAAGACAGATCTTAAGCCTTATTCTTCAAAATGAACCTCTCTCAGATGATGTGGACCTAGAATGTTTAGCCAAATTAACAGAGGGCTTCTCGGGATCCGATTTAAGGGAACTGTGCCGTAATGCAGCTGTCTATCGGATTCGTGACTATGTTCGCAATGAAATTAGCACTAATCTAAACAGAGCAAGAATAGGTTCAGGTGGAGAGGGTGACATATATCACGATGCGTTGCGACCCATTTCAATGGACGATTTGAAATTCTCATTTAGTAAAATGAGAGAGTCAAAGATTCATTGCGGTTCTCTTGGAATGCAGAGCAGGATAGATCTCGATTAGTTGGCGTGGTATCGTGTGCTGATACCAATTTTAACAGACATGGACAAGTATGAACGAAAATGTGAAAACTTTGCAGTAAATTTTGCTAAATGCTGTGGTTACAAATGTTAATTGTTTTGGCGCGGAGATTGCGACTCTGCTTGAAAATTGTTGTTATGTTTTAGGCAGGTTGTTGTACATTGTAGAATTGCGAATTGGTTTTCTTGTAAATTTTTAGTGTTTAAACAGGACTTCCTGAAAATTTTCATTTCACGTGACCATGTGTGAATTAGTCTAGAGTATACCGTTTGAATTTTTGGAGATTTGTTTGTGGAAAAATAATCCGCCCTTTTTGAAATATTTATTTTCTATATTTTCTCACAGCATTGGGCTATTATTAGACAGTTTCACAAATGAGTTGCATTAAACTCTAAAAACGTTACTGTCAAATATCCTCTTGTTGGGATCTCTAACGTGAAAATTTTTTTTAGAAAAAGTTAAGATTAAAAACATTAATTAAAAATACAATTTAGGGGTCAACCTTACAATATACTTTTGTTGAGTCTTGAAAAATCTATATGTTGTCTAAAAACCACTTGTGTAGCATAAAAGAAAATAAAGTGATTGACCTTTGAATTGCGAAATTTGTGCACCTTTGTTGAAGTAGCTGTTAAACAAACTGCACTTTGCTTTGTTTTTTGTCCTTTCTGGTTTGGCCAATAACAAAATCCTCCTGCTCACATAGATTAGATGGTCGAAACTAAGATGGAGTAGGAAATAAATTATTGTCGATAACTGTACACAGTCTGGAGTTCTATTTAAATAATAATAATAATAATAATTTATTTCAGCAATTAGATAATACATTCAAAAAATATATCAATTGCATAAAGAACTTAAGAAATTTGCAACTTACCTTACTAGTTACTGCTAAGTTCATATTAATATTTGGATCGAATACTTTAAAATTATTATATTTTATTGTGACCCACTTAATTTTATTCACAGTTAATGTATCACCTCCAGAATGTCAACACTAAATAACCAGAAGTCAACAAGTTTCTTAAATTTTGTTAAGATTAATAGTCTGATGACTATTTCAATTTAGATTTTGTTGGCACGTAGTACTTTAGCACCCAAAACACATATACCATAAGATAAAATTGATTCTACTAAAATAAATCCTACTAACGGAACTCTTTGACAAACTTTGATATAATATAATAAATTTATGGAAAAACTTGCGAATCTTCAGTTGATATAATTGGCGTGGTCATCCCATTTAAGGTTCTGATCAAAAACTACCCCTAAATATTTTAACATTTTGGTGGAATTTGTGTAAAGATCGCACTTACATTTCAAATTGCAATTTAAATTTCAAATTTTTTGTATTTTTTATTTAATATTGAGCAGGACAGCAAAATGGGGAACAAAAGCTTGTTCAAAATCAGTCAACGCTTACAAATATCCCAAATGTGGAAAATTTGAATCAATCGTTAAAGAGGAGCAATTTCACCCATTTTCATCCTTATTATGATTGCGCGAAATTTGTATTATGTTAATGTTATATTTGTATAACGTTAATAATTAATACAGTATTAATTAGGTAAGTACTTAGGTTTAACATTAAGTGGAGTGGATATGATACTGACAAAAAAACCCATATACATGAACAACAATGAATTTCACGAATGCGAGTTAGCAGACGAAAAATCGTATAATCACCAAATAATGAAAGACGAACACTTCCAACAAAAAAGTCTCTTCATTAGCATTAAAGACTTCGGTGTGTTCTGCGATTCTAAACTAAATTTTGTGACACATTTTGCGGAAGTGGTAAACCGATCTATGCGAGCCCTTGGGTGTGTTGTACGCAATAGTGCCCACATTGCTTTAGACTCCTCTATCTCTCTTTGTTTCGTTCTAGACTGCAGTATGCATCTGTGGTATGGTCTCCGTATTAAGATCTTTGACTTCAAAGGCACAAATCAATATCTATAATGGGTATCAGATCAACTGCAGTATTATAACTTAGGCCTTCACTCTTCAAACCAGAAGATTCTCTTTAAGATTTTGAATGGTTGCGATTATTGTCCATCTCTTTTACATAGAATACCTTACCATCGCGCAAATTGTGGAGTTTATTCACCCCTTACTAGAATGCTGAAATAGTGCAACCGTCTAAAGCTTGATCTTTTGTCGGCAGTCTCCGCTCATTTCTTTTGTTCTTTTTTGCTTCTACCTCTTTAACTGGTGTCTTTCTGTCTATTTCTGTCTATTTAAATAAATGACATTAATATTAAAAAAAAAATGGCTCCAAAAAATGCATGAGCCATATGATAACCTAATATAATACAACTACTGCACTACCTCAATACAGAAATAATGAATACTGAACCGTTGAGTTGAGTTGATTTTATTGATAAAATCTCTATATTATGTGCCAACGCGATAAAGCTAAGGACACCGCCGATAGGCAAGAGCATTAATATTGCTAACGATAATATAGTTGTATATACCATTTAGAGCAAAAGTAGATAAATATACATAAGCCTTTTTGAATACATAGCTCCTCTTCATCTACTTGCATCTACCTATATATCGTAAATATTTTTATATATACAAGTTCGTATCTAGAAAATTTTGTTTTTTTTTTAAACTTACTAAAGTCAATGGGGCAAATTTTTAATTCTAAATAAGGCAAGATTAAAGAAATAGTTGCATTTATTTAAAACAAATGACTTTTTCTAATTTTTTTCTTCAAATTTGTTAAACAGCACTTTTCCGCATTTTATTTAGGTACTTGAAAGTTTATAAAGGATTATCCCTATTCACGTGTAAATTTACAGATAATTCTTCGGCTTGTAAACATCCTATGTGCCAGAAAGTTTTCATTAATTCAGAAACGCCAAGGTTTATTTTTTACATTTTTTATATTTATATTTTATTAAAACGAGCAGGTTATATTTCTTAATATCGGGTACATAACCGAAAGCGTAGCGAATCGACTTATTTAGTATAATAATAACAAATAATATTTTTTTTACTAGCCATAATTTGTGATGGTGTAGCACCCTGTACCTATAATTTAGCCGCAAAGTGCAACGCATTGACACAAATGCATATTTGGCATTATAGGCATCTCAAACCAATTAAAAGTTGTTATTATAATACTTCGTTGTCCTCGGTATTATAAAATAAAATAAGTCCAATTATTTTTGTTTTACTTGCAACTGTTATTAACATATTTGTAAAATACATCGAAATAAAATTAAAAACAAAGAAGAGTTGAATTCAATGATTGATAGTAGTAGGTTTACATAGAAAAATTATTAACCTCTAATGCTGTTGCCATGCGGTCTACCTATAATTAATAAATTACTTTTATGTAGTAACAATTATAGCAGAGAAATTATTGTGACGCAGCAACCACTTGTCTGTCCAAATATTGACGTTTAGATCGCAATCTGCCGTTTTTTAATACATTCTTTATTAGTTTTTTTCATTCGCTTTTGTTTTTGATAGTATTATTTTTTTCCGCGTGAATTATGTTAAATTGCGTAATAATTGTGAAAACTGAAAAATATTGAAATAAATGTGGGGTGCGGCCCGACATATAGAGAATTATTTTAGAATTGGCGGAATTTTTTCTCGATATCTGCCGATAATACAGGAATTTCTCTTCGCCGCTGAAATGTTTGAAGGTTGCTGAGCCTGAATAAGATTTGTCACAAAATGTGAAGTTCTGGTTTCTTGTGCTAAAAAGACAAAGACCGTTTTGACAGGAGAAATGTATTTTCCTTGAAAATAATGCGAAATACTCCAAAACTTCCGATACAAATAACGTTACCTGCTGGCACTTGCAAAGGAGACGATTGAAAATGGTCTTCTGGTGACTCGTGCAAGGAAATGGAGAGCAAATGCGATTTTATTAAAGCATATTAAGAGGGGATTGGATTCTTGTGATTTTAGTTTTATGTAGGTTTTAAGTACCCAGTGCCAAGAAAGTAGCCCTTTAAATTCTGAAGAGTTTTTGGTGTAATCTGTGATTTAATTTCATTCGTGGTTATAGTAAGCATTGTAATATTGGCTTCTATTTGGTGTGCAATTTCTTTCATGTTACCCACGTTATTGAGGTTTTCCATTTATTTTACAAAATTCAAACAATTTTCGATTATCAAAAGTCTTTTATGGGTCTCTGTCTCAGCTGTAGAAAATCTAATGGTCGGTTTAAAGGTAAGTGCAAGATTTTGTGAGCTAGTTTCTGCAACATTCATTCATTTCTAATTAAATAAACATTTCAAATTTAAACATCCTTTAAATGATTATTTTTGTATGCCAGATTTTATGTATGTGGTTTGCTAACTCGAGTAAAATTATGCTTAATTTAAATGCTTTGTTTCACACCTAATTGATATATGTTGACAAATTTTAATAAAATGTGTTCAGTCACAATAGATTTGATTATTTGAAATTTTCTCATTAATTATTTGTATCCCGGCTTTTAAAAAAAACAAGAAAATGAAGCACCTAGACATCTAAATAATTTCATTATCAACTTTAATAGAATTATTTATAAACTATATATGTTTAATTTTCGCACCAGCCTTTGCTTTATAATTCCTAAATATTCCCACATTTTAATACTGACTTTATAAAGTTGTTTTAAAGTACTTTCTATCCATCTCTTGAGTTGAAAAGGGGTTTATCCTATTTTATTACTTTGATTATATCCCATACAAAAATATTAACAAATTAAATTGTGAATAATTTTTGGGAGAAAAAATAAAAACAAAGTCTATAAACAATAATAATAATAATTGATAACTATTAATGTTGGATTGTAATTTTTTGGAATTCAACTTCTATTTGCAATAGCCTATTTTATATGAATGCAGTGTCTTTTGCGCCAATTGTTCCCATTTAAGTAAAAGTGCAGTTGTAGCATGTAATATCAGATGTTTTTCGCGCTTTTTATTATGGTAATAACAATTACACTATGAGGTAAAACTTAGAAGAGCCTAGTGAATGTCCTCCTTGAAAGATTTGAGCATTAAACAAATAGTGTGCTACTTTAATAGATTAATGTTAATTTTAGGTAAAAACTGTAGCAGCATCAACAGCGAAAAGAAATTTGTCGGTTTTCTTCCAGCCAAAACTACGAAGATATGTAACCAGATTCAATCAACAGTATCGAACCATGAATCAAATTGTTCCAACTGTCTGAATAGGCAGTCGACTAGGACGTCACAAGGAGAGGAGGTTATGGCAACTTCCTTTTCTAACATGAACCTTACTAATCCAATCAAAGGTTTGGTAAGCAAGAAACGGAACAGATACAAGCAAGATGGTTTCAATTTAGACTTGACATGTATCCTTTAATTCGGTACAGTGTATATTTTTTTTGTATTGCAAATTGCATTCTTAGTATGGTTTCTTAACATTACAAAAGATATAACGCAAAATATCATCGCAATGGGCTACCCTGCTTCGAATATTGAAAGTGTATATCGCAATCACATAGACGATGTTGTGAAATTTTTAGACCAAAAGCATCCAGGTCACTACTACATCTATAATTTGTGTTCAGAAAGGAGTTATGATAAAACAAAATTTCACAACAAGGTTAAAGATTTTCCATTTGATGATCATAATCCTCCTAGAATTGATTCTATCGAGCCATTTTGCCAGGTAATTTACCTTCTTTCAAATCTGGTTAACTAGTTCCTATTTTATGTCTTATTTTATGCACTGGAGTTTTCATTAAAAAAATTTCAACACTCCAAATCTTAAAAAGTTAGGTATGAGCTGTGATTTATAACATAACATAACCTGGACATTTTACCATATATATTTTTCATTTTTTGGCAATTGCAATTGCAGAGTGTAGTTACACATGATACACCTATTTGTTTTTAGGATGTGAAAGAATGGTTGGAGAGGGATCCAGACAATGTGGCAGTTGTACATTGTAAAGCAGGCAAGGGCAGGACAGGTACAATGATATGCTGTTATTTGCTACATAGCCGGATATGTGCTACTGCTGATCAAGCTTTAAATTTTTATGGTAAGTAACATGTCTGGTAATAATAGTTTCATATTTTTGTTCCTGTTAAAATGGTTATTTTGAATCGATTACTATGCAAGTGCACTCTCATTATTTGAGTATAATCTGTAAACTGCAAAAAATGTTTGTAGGTTGTTTTAAAATTAAGCTTAAGAAATAAAGATATAAAAAATAAATCGATGCATTTCCCCTGATCCTATATTAGACTATATAAATATTCCAAACAAAGCAAAGAATCATTACCACATTTGTAATACCCTAAACACAAAACACAAATCCAGAACATTTTATCTGGAGCTTTTTAGGTATGTTTTACAGGTAAGCTACTATTGAAATATAATTACATTATATTATGTTAAAGAATTGCCTGGAAGCACAAAGAAATATAAGTTTTGAATATGGTAATAATTACTGAAATGAAGAATTAAGCTAGTTTTTTTTATATGGATCTATTCTTTTATATATTCACTTTGGCTTGAAACTAAAGGATTTTCTTCTTGTTTTGGCGAGTTCTATTGGGACAGCCAGTGCTTACAGGGTGTAGATATTTCCGTTTCTTTTTTCAGATGTTATGCTCAAATAGCTACTAGGATAAGTAACATATGAAGCAACTCTAAATAAAATTAAGGGAAGTTCCATTCAACATGCGCATGCGCGAGATTTAAAATCTCGCTTTTAACCAATGACATCTGAAACAACAAAAATGAAAAAAACAATGGCAGACGCTAAGTAGTATTCCGTGACAGTAGCAATAATTTCATTTCAGAGATTATATAACTTCAGTCACAGCAGTTGTGAAGTTACGTCACGTATAGTGACATAAAAAATGATCCGTATGTCTTAGTGCTACAATCAAGTTTTAGTTGCGGATTTTAGAACTGACAAACAAAATTCCTGTCAATTTACGACATCCAGTAATCGACTAGCTAGATAAAAAAATATCATGCTGCTATATTATCTAATACCTATGCTTCTGCATTTCACCCCTGCGCGATTTTGTTTCTGAACAGCGATTTACTTCACTAATTTTACGAGGTGTAGGCATATTTTGAGAAAATACTGTCGGAAGAATGCCGCATCTCAACTAATTGACGATCTGTCAGCGGTCATGTTGGTTGTTGAATACCGGGTCATTGGTTAATTAGATTGTAAGTCTCTCTTATGCGCAATTTTTTTTTATGCGCAATTGTTTCTTCGTAAGTGCCTGTATCTTTCTATCTCTAGTAGCTATATGGGTATGCTAATAGAGGATAAAAACAATCAGTGTGCAGTGACTACTCCAATGGAATTTGCTTATAACTGATTAGACAATTCCAGGTGGAGTTTATGTAAAATTCTCAAAATTTCAGGTGAAAAACGGACTCAAGACACCAAAGGCGTGACGATCCCTAGTCAGGTGCGATACGTCCGTTATTATGAACAGCTCGTGTATCGCCATCTGCGTTACAGGCCCCTAACTGTGTATATCAAAGAGTTTATATTCGATCCAGCCCCAACTTTCGCTGGCGGTCCGGGTAACTTATCGTTTTCAATTTCTCACAAGACGTTCGTGAACGAGGGTGACAAAATAATGCAGAGGTGTAAAAACTTGAAGAAAAGTGAACCCTATAAAGTACCGGTGGACAGTGCTTCTTACTCAATCAAATTAGATTATTGTTTACCATTGACGGGTGACATAAAAATTGAGTTCTACAACAAGATAATGATGCGCAAAGACAAACTGTTCCATTTTTGGTTTAATACGTTTTTCGTCGGGTATTTTAGTGGTGTGAACGTTAACGGTTATGGCGGTAACATGGCCGAGTGCTGTGCATTGGGCGATGAATCCTGTTACGAGTTGATATTTTATAAAAATGAACTTGACAAGTTAATCAAAAAGGACAAACAGCACAAAGTTTTCCACGAAAAGTTCAAGGTAAGTTTCTCGCACCACAAGAAATTCTAACTTGTTTTTGGCACTTTATTCAGACATTTTTGAAATCAAACACGCTAAACATAAAGGGTGTCACATTTCCATCTCAAATTAAAAGGGACAAGCGAAGTTTTTTTTTTTAAATTAATGTTTTTAGTCCTGTCAGATCACAGTTGCATTTTTAGAATTCTTTGAATTTTAGTTTTTCGATTTCTTATGTCACTTTCAGTGGCTTTTAAGACGTTAGTACGTAAGCTTCTTGTTAAGTGACACGTACAGGGTCATCGAGAAAAACCTTTAATACAAAATTGAAAATTAAAAGGAAACAAATGCGCATCGCAAAGTTGAGAAACAGTAGTGTTTTATTTTTAAATGGAACACATTTTCTGTTATGATCTTTTTCTCTTCATTTAAAAAATATATACATTGTTTATATTTGGATTTGAATTACTTAACTTTAAATTGTTGATTAACTAAATTGGTGTTAATCATATTAGCTGGGCGTTCCGCAAATTGAAATCTTCTGTTAGGAAAATGGGTTTTACTCAGAGTAAGAAAAACCTCAAGTAGTTCGTCCTTTTTATTTCATTAAGTACTAATTTAACAATAATACTAAAGAACATAATATGAACAGCAAGAAACGATAATAAAACCGATAACAACGAACAATATTGAAAATATAACCATGATGTTCTGAACATGTTCTAATATTATCCCTCATTTTATGATGAATCGCATTCAAAATAAAGTCTGGGCGATCTCTATTGAGCATAAATATTTCTTGTTCAATTTTTTGGCTCAACCCTCGTATATTTTGAGGTGTGTCGTTGTATACTCGGTTTTTGAAAAATCCGGTCTATTAGCTGTCCACTGAATTATGCTGTCTGCCCATCCAATAATGATATTTGTCATTTAGGTATTCAGCAACTGGATCGTTCTTGTCTTTCAAATAATTTTCAATGTCATTTTGAAAAAAATCTAATTATGGATTGTCACATTGTCAGCAGGCCACATCACCCAGGAACCGGTCTACGACCCTGTTTTTCGACTGGTTGAATTTTATGTGGGTTTTCATTAAGTGGCGGTCAATTGACCAGTCCTAACACTAAATATGACATTCCCAATTGTGCGGCAACAATTATTGAGATTTAACTTCCGGGATTTTCTAAAAACTATATATACTGAAAACTGTATGAACTTTATTTTAAATCATTATTCATAAAAGTATAACTTTCAAGAGTAAAATATTGATGTCGCCATCTTTATTTCTAAAAACGATTCTCTTTTTTTGGTTTCATTAAATTGCCGGATAATGCGATTGGTTGTGTCAGCTGACGATATCCGTCGCTTAGGATAATTTGACGATATTGCCGTTGAACTGCACTTATTCTATAAGGTTTTCTTACTCTAAGTAACTCATTTTCGTAAAGCGACACAATATGTTACACTGAACGCCTGGCCAACTCGATCAACATCTGTTTAGTTCATCAAAAATTAAAACTTAGATAATTCAAGAACGGCTTGTCCAAGTATCAACAATGTATATGTTTTTGAAATCAGCAGAAACAGATTTTTTGTTAAAACAGAAAATGTATAGGGTGTTTCATTTAAAAAGAAAAAACTTGCTACTGTTTCCCAACTTTGCGATGCGCATTTGTTTTCTTTTACAAGACTAAAAGATAATACTGCAAAAATTGTACGACTCTTTTTTTCTCGAACAAATAACCCTGCAACATAATTAAAAATATGGAATTATATACAATTTAATATTTCGATTGCATAATATAACAGAATATAACAGAAGTCGTATACTTACTGCTACACAACCAATAAATACAAAAAAGCACAATATTTATATAAAAAATTCTGACAGGGGTTTTCAAGTAAACGATAAAAATGTTTGTCATTGTTTATTAAGGCACAGGTTATAAAAATTTAGATTTCGAAATAGTTATTTCCATCTAGTTCAAGCTGTTTTTGCGATATCGACATGAAAACTTGAACTCGGGGGTTAATGTAAAGGGCGTAGATACAGCTTAACATATCGCTATTTTGTGCTATAAGTTTTTTTTTTTAATAGAAAATTGGGATAAGAGATGATTTCTGAGTAGAAGAGGATTTATTTTGATTAAATTTTTCTTCTCGAGGTGTTTGCTTTGTAATACAACAACCTCCACAAAATGTTACCGGTATTTAGTTTTTTTATGTCTCTGGAAGTGGAAGGATGCGTTTTTGACATTTCTCAACAGCTCTTCCTTAAAGTGTGTAATGTTGTTTAAGTTAGCTAATGTTATATTTTATAATTAAAAAAATTTATAGCCATCATAGTGTACAATAATGATATTATTATTATAACACCATTAGTTAAGACTTTAAAATACAGGTGTCTTTAGTTTTAATTAGAGAATATGAAATACTTTTCATTTCCTATATTTATCTCATCCACGTTATAACTAAATTGACATATTTTTTTTATCAAATTAAGGGTTTGTCAGGTCTCTTGGTATAATGTCGGTTGAGTGATTGATGGGTTGTGTTACTTTCCATTTGCAGCTAACGGTAGTTGTACAAAAGATTCCACGAGAAGAGCACCATCCTCCGCCGTACGTTACACGCGATATGCACCACATGCCAGATACGACCCCCAGTGACAGTTCGGCGGAGTCGACTGACGAATCAGAAGAAGACGATTGGGATTCCGGTGAGCGCAATTCAATGTTACCCCTCGTTAAGCGCGAGTAGTTCCCTCCTCACTAATGTTGAGAACAATATTTTGGAGATTGGAGTTGTTACTACTAATGCCACACAATTTTTTTAAAAGAATTTTTCCCAAAATTGCTGTTAAAAATATGTTTATTCCGCTCCGTTAGCGGTTGTTAATGGAATGTCCATATATTTAAACAAAGTAATATAACTATTTTCTTAAAAATTTTAGGAATAATTGATTGTAAACGTAGTATTTTTATGCTAGTGTGTCACAGAGGCCGGAGTTTTTTGGTGTATATATATTATGTATATTTTTCACTGATGGAATGACGAAAGTACAACCGCATATAAAGAATTAGTTGTTGGAACACTAGTTATATTTTTCGGAAGATATTAAAAAATTAATATATTTGTATTAGATCAGTGGAGCATTCTCCCCTATTTGGCTTAATTGGAAATATTTGATCGGGCGTGTCCTTAAAATGTGAAACGTGGCAATTTTTATTTTCGTTAAACAGGTGGACGGATATTTTGTTATCAGATATTCCAACATGGTTGGTCCCTTATATTGCCGAAGAAAAATTTGTGGATTTATGTATTGACCAAAGATAAATTTTGATATATCACGTCTTTCTCGTTTTAGCGTATTGATTCAGACAAAACAAAATGGTAGTTATTAAAAATTAATCCATACGCTAAAAATGGCATTTTAGTCACGGCGCGGTACAATTGAGACCTGTCGCTTGCCTGCATTGGCTCGTGTAACAGTGTGGTCCATAGTCGAAAATGTTTTCAAGGGCGCTGTGTTGCCGCTTCTACATGAACATGGCAACATCGAATTTAATTTAAATGGCACACCCCGTATAGCGTTCATTCTGCTCAAGAAATAAAGTTGATTGGTTCTCCGTTATTATAAAGGACATTTAAAGAATAATGCTTTGTAAGAAGTTTCTCTAAACGCAATTTATTGCGATTTTTTAAACAGTACACAATGTATATTAATTTATTTTTATTCTTCAGCTTATACCTATCTCTTGCTCTCTTTGAAATAATAATTAACTTTAAGTGCAACTATGTACAAGACCTGTTTTCAGGAACTACTGATCTTAGAAAAAAAAGCTTTTTTGTTTAAATTAAATTTTAAAATTACTTATTTTTTATATACACAGGCTGTCTGAACATATGATATTTTTAGAGTCCTTGCTAAAAATAAAGGGAACTTTTACAGAAACTGCTTATTCGAATTTTGTGTAATTTAAACAGAAATGTAGATTATATTTTTTTTTATGCAGACTTACGTTCTTGGTAAACGTGGTCTTGCACGGCTGGCCAGTAACGACTACTTGATCAAATTTTAAACAAATTTTTGGAAGACTTTCTTCTAATGATCTGCAATGACTAGGTATTTAAAAAATATACAGGGTGTCTTAAATTAAAGGACATTTTTTGAAAATTTCAACTCGCAGTATTCTTTTTTTTTTAATTGATATTTTTCTCAAAGCGGGTCAAAATACCTATAATTTGGTATATATGTCCTATACATAATCTAATGATTTTCGCAAATTTTTAGGAATAAACTCGCTGTCGAAAAATACTGACACCTAATTATTTTAAAGAATTTTATAACGGCACATCTTTTTTATATTTGATTTAAGTTTTAATAATTGTTTCAACGAATAATGGGGCAATGTATTAAGCTTTCACATATTTAAATAAAGTTTTCATTAATAGTAAAAAACTCATATTTTTTTAAAAGACATAATAATATTATTGTGAAATTTACTTTTTACCCGAGTAGGCTGTGGTAACCAAATAAGTGTTTATAGTTGTTTTAAGTTGTGTTATAAGTCAGTTTCACAGATGTGATTTTAATCAAGCAATATTATTATTACTTAAGTTAAAAATGTATACGGTGCAAGAAAAAACAGACATGCTTGAATGATTTTTATCGAATTTGAAAAATCCAGCTCTGGCTCTAAGAGAGCATCAAAGAAAGTTTCCCGTAAGGCGGATTCCAGAGAAGAAGCGATTTCGAAACATGTACGCTAAGTCTAGGCAAGATAGTAGCCTTCTGCCAACGTTCAAGAAAAGATCACGACAAGTTCTAATAGAGGAGAAGCATTTTGAGAACTAGCCTCCGAAATTGTTTAAAATTAAATAAGCGAAAAGCATTTATGTTTTTATTCGTTTTTTATCCTTAAAATTAATTAAAAAATAAGAATGATATGCTTTTTTAAAATTCTTTAAAATAATTAAGTGCCAGTATTTCGAAAACCATTAGATTTAAGTATAGGACATATATACCAAATTATAGGTATTTTGACCCTTTGAGAAAATATATTAAAATATGGGCGTGTCATTTAAAAAAAAATGAATACTGCAAGTTCAAATTAAAAAAAAATCCTTTAATTTAAGACACCCTGTATAATTTTAAAATACCTAGTCATCGTAGTGTCTAAAATTTGATCAAGTCAGCCAGCCGTGGAAAACCATATTTACTAAGAACATAATTTTGCATAAAAAAATATATAATCTCAATTTCTGTGTAATCTACACAAAATTCGAATAAATAGTTTCTATAAAAGTTATCTTAATTTTTGACAAGAATTCTAAAAATATCAATATATATATATATATATATATATATATATATATATATATATATATATATATATATATATATATATATATATATATATATATATATCGGACACCCTCTATATATATATATATAAAAAAAAAAAATTTAAAATTTAATTTAAGCCATAAAACTTTTGTATAAACATTTTTTTCTAAAATCAGTAGTTTCTGAGAAAAGGTACAGACCCCTAATAAAGTGCCCACCCTGTACAAGGGGTGCCAAATTCAGCAAGATCTTGCCGCCTTCATGTGGAACGCGAAAATATTTTAAAGCGACAGAGGTCGCTAACACCGAGGTGTAAAATTTGTTAATCAATAGTAATTGGCCAAATAACGTTATCAATGTAAAAAGAGAAAAGGCTCGTTAATTTGTGGTAGGCTTGGAATTTCAGTCTGATTGTTGTCATTACAGACTTAAATCTAATTTGGGTGATAACGAGCAAAATTTTAAAAATTTTAAGGGGAATTTTAAAAGGAACACTCTATATGATTTAAGTATTTTATTCAAAATTAATAGGTGGATTGCCTCTGGCCTCTCTTTCGATGTTGGATTTATTTGACGTTGATATAGATGATAAATTTTACTCCTAGAATTCCTCCTCAGTACAATGTGTAGCTGTCCTCGTTTGAGTAAATATTAACTGCTTATTTTATTTTCTTTAATTTTAGTTTTTAGTAATTGTAAAACTTTCGAGATACCAATACAAATCGAAGTTGACATCACCTCCGATTAAATCAGGGAGGTAACAAATATTGGTTTTGAATCCACTCTACCAAATGGCATACAAGGGTAGAAATCGAGCATAGTTTTCTCCAACTTGTATAGTTTATTAATATTGTTCAGAGCAACAATTTAAAAATTATTCTACAAATGAGTACATTGATGATTAATTGATCTCTTGATAAACTGACGGAATAAAAATTAACACGTCGCACATTGCAAGGCTAACAAACTGCTTGCAAACTTCATGCTTTTAGTGTTTGCCGTTCATCTGTTAACGCGCTTGTTTTGGTTTTGGTGTTTTGAATTGACTCCGCGGTTCTCATTCTTGAACCTGAGGAGTTCGTTCACCAGGTATCGACAAATTCTTAACCATCCTTCAGCTCATATTTCACATCATTACAAAAACGACAATTTTGTGTTTTTAGTTCAATGTGATGGTTTCAATCTTTCTTAATAGGTCTATTATTTGAAAGTATTCTCTCCCAAAAGTTGGTAATTGTTATTTGATGTTTGAGAAACATAATATGTATTATTAGTTTATTATACTTAATATCATAATAAAAGTGAAAACATCAGTTCTCTTAGAGTTCAAATATAAATGTTTGTATTAATTTATAGAGTGCTAAATTTAGCAAACCAATCCAACAACCAAAAACCAACGAAATACATACATTTCAATTGGAAGTACATTTTCAAAACAACTAAATGTTTCCAAAATATTATCCAAATTAAAATAAATATAGAAAATATGATTTTGAGAATTTACACCCGAATTTTTATCGCATAACGTGAAAACAGTTTTGTGCGAAATTTCTTTAAAAAATTTTTGCCGATAAAAAGTTTAAATAAAGTGCTTTTTCAATTAAAACAACTAGGTAGATGGGTTAGTTTTGGTTAGTAAGTAAATAAGTCTTCGACATTTTTTTATTAACTTTTATTATAATATATGCTTCATTCTGTATATACTGTAACCTAAAATCCACACCACACCCACAAATCTACAATTTTTTGTAAAATCCGAGATGTCGTACTACAATCCAAACGACAGATGAGCTTGTCTAGCAAAAATTATTAACAAAGTAGAATACCATCTTAACCGTTTTATTAACGTAGTTTTGGTACGTGATTTGTGTTCTTCTTGCATGCCACCACAGTGATGTTGGATCCGGAGCACTTAAATCCGCGCGGTGTTGGTTATCGGATCCTGAGCGAGTCCGAAATCGCGTCGCAACTAACGTCGTCCAGCGGCGATCATCATTCGGAAATTTTAATGGCGTGATCCTTAATGCGGCCGTAAGAAGAGTTCTCGTTTTTTATCCTTAAGCTGACCGCTATTTGTTTTGGTCGTTTGGTGGTAATCAGTGGTGGAGAAAAGGCCTCAACCTCACCAAAAAGGTCTAATAGTGATAGAAATAGGCAATTAGGCATTACAGGATGTCAGGGAACTATTACGGTTACACCGGAAGTAGGCCCGGGCTTCCAATATTCCATGTATAATGTCATATTTGGGCTGGACTAAATAAACTTTTGCTCATTGCCTACGAAACATGTCATTTTGTAGTGACCTTCTTTCCACAAACATGAAGTTTGATAGAGTTTTAAGTTTAACGAACAAATAAATCAAGAATTACAATAAAGGTTTATTCCAAATTAAAAGCCAACAACTGTCAAGTTTGTATCGCTTGCCTATGTCGGCTTTCATATTTTGTTACTACAAATTATCGTCCTTTGGCTCTGATATTTCGCTTCATTTCAATAAATTTTATTGAAGGTTCGTTTTAAGATGTCCCAAGATTTATATTCTTCCACTGTTTACCGCCATTTTTCATTATGTATGGATTTTTATGTATTTAAACACAATTTTCTGTGTTCTGCATTTCAAAAAACGAAGTGGAGGTGGCGTTTAAAGCCACTGTCAAAATATTAGATCAAAATTCTTTGTTATTTATCTTGTCTATAATTTTTGTTCCTTCGGAATCGATCGTGAGTAACCGAGATCACGCATGTCAATATATTTGTAAATAGATTGTAAAAGAATTTTAAATTTCAAAAATTCGAAAACACCAAGTCTTCATTCTACGAAGGCACAATGTCATTCGTGGACAAATTATATGTTGTACTAATGTCTCCTCAAAATGCCTTTGATAATATACAGTGAGCTCCAAGTTCAATAAAATGCGTAATATTTTTTTCTCAAAAATATTACGCGTATATGGGAATTTGTTGCGTAATGTTATTGCTCGCTCTATTTTATATACGACTTATTTTACAGATGCCCCCATCCCGTCTCAAGAGGGAGGCAATTGACTTATTTTTCCGAATCAAGTACAAATTATATTGTTAGTGGGTAGAGTAGTTTTAAAGAAAATAGATCGGGTGTTTGGACGTTCCAAAATTATTATAGAAATTTACGAAAAACACTTCGTGTCGTCCCGAGACCTTAAGGTTGCATCTCACCAAGGAAACCTTGTAACATAAGTGTTACTCAGGCAGTTGGTCTAAGCGGGATTGCACGTTACGTATTTATCTTGTAACTACCTCAATCGCGATGTTTCGGTGTAATTTTTTAGGACAATCAGATTTTTCTACTCTGATTTAACACAAACACTCTGTTTATTTTCATAATATCGATACTTATGAGTAACTGTATAGAATCAAGTGAAAATAAACTTTTTAGAACGGTGCTGGATTTTCTATTAAAAATCACTAACCGAAATTAACCGTACTAAACTCCATAGACAGGTAACTATAACATTTCTTTAATATACGTTGTGGTTTAACAAGCGCTTCTTTTTTTTTTTTTATTCTAGTGTACATAGTTGTTCAAAAATAGAACAAACAATTTTTAAGCGAGAGAAAAATAGCGTTTAACGTGTTGTCTTTGCTTGTGAGCGATTAGGGTCATATCAGGTCAGGCTTGTACTTTTTTTTTTGCGGGCTAAACGTCTTAACAATATCTGGGTTGCCCGTGTTTACTAACGTATGCCTATTTACAGGGGAGTCAACATACCTGTGATTGTGGACAAAACCTACACTCGTGGCATGATTTGTATCGGAAAAAAATGGAAAAAGGTGTAAATATTGCATGTTTTTCATTTTTATAATATTTTTTTGTTTCGGTTTAAATATTTGTGACGTCCAGAAAATCGTTCGTCCACTTAATATATATAGCCTTCGCGGACCAGTGAGATTTTTGTACAGTGAATATGGTTTTATTTTTCGGTGTTTCGATAGTTTTTTTGGACATCACAAGCGATTTGTATGTAGAAATCATTACATCTCATTTTTTTTTTCATGTTGTTTGTTTTTGAGTCCATCATCATTTGCTTCCGCTTTTATTTCCAATTAACACACATTACCTTATCGGAGTGCCTTTCTAGATGATTTGATTTCGAAAGTCCACAAGTGATAACAGAAACAGAAAAATTTCATTTGAAACTGTTGATCAGGTGGGACCACGGCGTATAATGAAAAACTACAATGGCTACTAATTCATCTAAAAAAAAGCATCTTAGCCACTGTATTCACAGGCCTCTTTGATACATTCCAAAACTAAAGAGACGTGGAAAAATGAATAGTCGAAAAGTCGTGGCCAAAAATGTTGACGTAAACTTACAGAAGACATTATTTATAAAACGCAAATTCTTACTCCAGAAAATTCATCAAAATAAAATTTCTGATTCTAAGTTCCATTCTGTTTCTGGTATCATCAAAATTTTCTGGCGACAACAGTATCTCTGTTTTAGGTACAAACTGTACTTAAAGCTTGTATATCTTTGATACTTGAATTTTAGTTTTGGTATGGATTACATCAGATTCTGAATATTTCTCAGTGTTATTTGAGTGAGAAACCCGAATGTGGCGAACGCCCAAAATGGGTTTTGTTTTGAGGTTTTTTTGAGGAAAGTACAAATAACATTTTTATTTTTGATCTCACTTTGTTTTTAATTTTATCTTGCCTATGTTAATTAATTTTGATTCAATAAACCGTTGAGTCGGACTATTTGATAAAAGTGCAAAGGACGTATGTACATCCATTAACTTGCCTTCTCGAAAAAGAGCCTGTTATATAGATTTTAAGGATAACGTCTGTAGAATTTGTTTCCATAAACTATGAATTTTTGTGTGCGTGTAATTCATTATTGTAAGAACCAAACACGGTGGCATAGTGATTGGCCATGATAATTTTATTTAGTGCTGGAGGTACTGCTTTTTAAAAATTCACAGTCGCTGTTTATAAGTGATACTTGACAATTAATCCTAGATTAAACTCGTGGAAATAATGTTGTTGAACCAAATAATATGTCTTGATAAAATGTTTTATTCCGTCATTTGTAGAGGACGGTAGTTACATCATATAATCTTGAAATTACGTACTTTCATTTTCCTGTTATCATGATTTTATTATTTTCTATTGAAAATTATGATAGAATGACGACTTCCAGTAAAAGAAGTGTACTTACTATATTTATTTCCATTAAACCCCCGTTTTCGAGGTATATGCATATATTTAACTATCCACGTGTTAATTTAAAGTATCTTTTTGTCAGATTAATGAATTTCAGCAATAATGTCAATATGCCAAGCATACAAAATTACGCTCTTTTCTTATCGAAAGTAGTGTGTCCTTTCTTTATAAACTGTCTTTGAGTACAATAATAAATAAATGAAGTATACTTTTTTTACATGAAAATCAAGTAAAAATAATTCAGTGATGGTTGCAAAGCATGTTTTTGCTCAATATCATTATTTTCACAAGTTTAATGTTGGCGCATTCATTGCGGACGATGCTGTATATACTAAAAAGAATATGTTTTAATTAGTTGTTTCATAAAATTAACAAAGGTTCATTTTTGCCGTATCATAAATTTCCTTTATTTTTATTACCAACCACTGTGAAGTATGTGTGTCCGTTGGAAACGTACATGCTTTAAATGAAAACATTTGACAATTTGTTTGATAGTTGATTAGTTTAAAGAATGTATATTGCTTCCCAAATTTGTTGTCCCCTTATAACTTTGGCATTATGAAATATTTAATAGCGCAACACATATTTGGATATTTCTGCAACTTTGAGCATACCCTGACATATTCAAATATGATTTGCACCAGTAAAAAACTAGTCCAGTAATCCGGAACTTAGAACTGTGGTATGTTTAATGGTATGATGGTCATAATAGCCAAGCCTATAGGGGCGACGAATTTGGGAAGCACTGTACTTGCGGACTGCCCATATGGCATAAATACACATACAAATTTATATGGTTTTAATGTAATAGTGATATTTATTTTGTATACTTTAAAACAACAAAAATCTACATTAAAAAAATTACTTGATTCAGTTTAATAGTATGTTTCAAGTAATATGAATAAAAGAATCAGGAAACCGTTTTTTTGAATATGATCCTTTGTAACAATTGCAAAAATACTCATTCAACTGATTTTGCTTGTACTGAACAGCCCAAGAGACAGCACTTCTTGAAATTTTTTCTTTTCGTCATGTTTTTGTAAGTAAATTCTAAATTCTGCCATTTTTGTTAAATTGTGGAATTTTTTATAAACAAGTTTTTTTGTATATAATTTTAGTATACAGGATTTAGGATTCCTTCAATTTTTGTGATTCATGTTAAACATAAGTTATTTACGGGGTGGCTATAGAAAGATTATTGTTTTGTGTAAATAAATAAAATCCGTTCATTTCAATCCAAATTTGCGCTAACCTTTCAATATATTCGTTTAAATTTCCTTTTGGTTTTATCAAAATGAACCTCGATAATGTTGTCTCTCTCTTTGTCACCTCATTTGTTTGTGGGTTATGTGTATGTATGTATGTTCCCTTTATCAAGTGACCAAATAATATTAGAATACATAATTTATCAAGATTTTATTCACAGGCTATATTAACTAGCCTTTTTAGATTATTTTTAATGGTCATGTTATTGTGATAAGTTATTAGTTAGTAGAAGTGGCGTTGTGCTATAGAAATAATATTACTACGTATACCTACGTATACCTGCAGGACGATTAATTATTGTTGCAACGCACAGTGTCTTTAAATTTGTTTATGCTTATCTAAGCTCTGTAGATATGTCTCGCGATCCGAAATATATTTAAGGACACAAACAGAAAATTGTTTTGACCTTTTAAGTAAAAAAAAAACAACCCACTAATTTATGTAGGTTTAAATTCGGCTTATTTTATTTGGTATTTGTTTTTTTTTATATAATATGAATTTATTCATAAAAAAAATTGTGATGAGGTCGGATTAGTTAGAAGATTGAAAGTATATTAGTAGTAGCGATTGGACACTGTAGGTGCAGTATGCCAAAGTACTATCTTCGGCTAACCCCGCAAGTGTTTGTTATTTTCTATTTAAGTTTAGATCTGAATGTACCCGATGACTCTACTACTTAACACTATTTTTCAGAAGAATTACGTCCCTTGTCCCTGAAGAGTGATTCTTTCTATGAATCGCAAAATAAAAGTATGTTTAAATAATTTGTGTTTTATTTAAATATTATTGTATTCTCAGTTATTAAAAAATTATCTTGCTCTCCCTCTGCCGCGTTGGAAATTTCCTCTACCTCGTCCCCCCGCATTTCCTTTTCCTTTTGGCGGTGGACTTTTAGGCCTGAGAGCTTCGATGCGCTCTGTACATCCCGTAGTAGTGTTATTATTGTTGAAATAACTTCCATAAAGATCTGTGTTGAAATTGGAATTGGTGAGCTCAGGACCAACCGTTAGCCAACCTGGCCGTATAGTACTATCCCTACCAAAAATATGTAGTCTACGACGGCCTAAAAATAGTTTGGCTGAGAGTATGTAGGCGCATTTTGTCCTAATTAAATAAAACCAATGAAACAAAAATTACACATATTTAAAGTGTTTGTTGAGGTGATTAATTGAAGAACTTGCTTTCTCTTCTGACTTTCAACGTGAGTAACAACAGATTAACACTGGAGAATGCAATTTAACATTACAAGAAAAAGGTCAGAGTAGCTATGTATTTCAATATTAGTTTACCATCAACAAGGAATCGAAGGTACCAAAAACTCACCTAAACAAAAATGTTCTATGATATGAAAAATTTCCACTGGTTTTTCCAAACTTCCATACTCATTCTCTTCAGATATAATTAAGTCTATATCCACATTAGCATGAATAAAATCCCCATCCGTTGATCTTCTGACAGTTCCCTTTATACCCATAAGGCAATGTTCCTTAGTCCGTTGAAAAACGGCCTTTGGGTCTAGAATTTTTGAAGGTCCCGGATTTTTTATATTTGTCCTAATCCAACATATATCTTCACACCTTACAAAATAAAAAAAATATTTTATTATTTCAAATGAGGGATGACATTGTTTGTATTGTGTTTCATTCTGTTTTTTCTTATTTTATTATGAACTTAATGCATATGAATAAACAAATCCTAACTATAGCACGTTTTTGACTCACCTTCTAAATCCCCATTTTCTTAAACAAACTCTTCCCATGTCAAGTCCCTCAGAACTTCCACACCATAAAAAGACAAAACTTCTTTGGGCAGCTACCTCCCCAACGTCTAGGTTCATAATCTGATCCCAGGACCAGAACTGCATGTTGGTAGCCCCCATAGTCCTTTGATATTCTTCTAATGGAGGCTCGATCAGTATCACATCAAACTTACAATTTAAAGTTTTGAGATCATAAGTTGCTAAATCACATTTTAAATACATAGGGGGAGTTGCCGTCTGCTGAATCAATTCGTCTTTCAGTCTAATTAATTCGCGTAACTTTGGATACTCTTCAAATCTGTCAGCTAGTCCAACATCTCTGATAAAATTTTGAGGTCTTTGGCCAGTATCCACAAAGTGTTGACAGTAGTCATTGTGCGGATTAGAAGACTGAGTACCCTAGAAATAAAAAAATATAAAACAGACTTAAATTAGTATGTTTTAAAGACATTTTAAGCAACATTTAATTGTAAAGAATTAAATTAATATACCTTTAAAAATGTTGAAGAATCCCTGTACACCAGTTCATCATTTAAATCTTTTTTAAAGCAAAATTTATCGCATTCTTGAAACCCTACACTATCTCTGCTGTCCACTTTTTTTACAGGGGTTTCTGTTGTGCCCAACGCTTGTCGCAACTCTTCCGCGCCGGATACGCCAAGCTACAAGTACCAACTATAATTATGTTAAAACGCCGCATTGTTTGGTATTTACTGTTTGTGCCAACAATTGTTTCCTTTTACGTGATTTTTCGCGCAATTCTTTTAACATATCACCCATTTTAATTATATTTTATAACATCTAACCCTACAAGCGATAAACATAACCACTAAACACAAATATTTTGATGGTTCGGACGACGCCGCCTGAAGGACTTTAAACAACAGAGGATAATTACGATTATAGAATAAACATGGTGGATTTGTGACGTACTACATCCCGTATCCAAGTCGATGCTTACGTTAAATATCCTAAATAAATAAATTGCAAACCTAACTAATTATCCTCCCAGCAAATGATTACCTTGTCCCCTTCACAACTCAAATCGAATACATTTATTGTTTATGAAATCTTGTAAGATGATTATATAAACGGCGCGAATGCATTCAGAGTTCGTAACGATCATCACAGACGATTTGCAGATAAGGGACTCACCAGATAATAATAAAGACTGTTAAATCATTAAATGAAAGAAATACACTTAAGCGAAATATCAGAATAAAAAAAAGTTGAGAAAAATTTAAACATTTTATTATATTATGAAGCTTTCTTTTCATGCGGCAACAGGACGATAGCTATCCGTGTTGGATAGCAACACATGGATCATTAAGAGGGCCACTAAATGGTGCAGATATCTATCCACTTCACTTCTTTTTATGGGACTGAAGAACCAAATTTACTATGGTAGACTAAGAAAAAACCAACCAAATTTTAGAAAGAAGAATAAGACAGGCAATTGCTTACTTAAATAGACATATCTACTAAGCCATTCATACAAAATTTTTAAGAATTATTCAAATGTGCATTTTAAATCAAGTATATAGAAAAGGAAGGTTTATTTACCTTTTGATTTTCAAAAAAACCTTTATCATGTAATAAATATTTAATGTAATAAAATATTAAAATCTTCCTCAGTATTATTTATTTTTTATTTATTTATTTCCATTATTTTTGCTGTGTTCTAATATATTTTATCCAAGAAATTACAAAGAAAATGTAATTCTTAGCCCATTCATTGCGATTACTGTTGTCGTGGTCAACTATTATGTTTCTGTCTTAAGTGTCTTTGAAAAATTAACAATTGAAAATACCATCAACCTGTCAAAGTTTAGCATTATCAGTTTTCTTGTATAGGGGGGTTACAAAAAAAAATTAAATACAGAAGTTGTTTCTATTACAATGGTTTTTATTATTTGCTATTTTCCTAATCGTCACTTTTTTATATACAGCGTGGTAAAATAAAATTACATTCTTTTAAATAGAATACCCTACATTTTATTGCATTTTTGGATAGTTATGTTCAAAGACAAATTAAACGATACATACGAGTATGGTTCTGTGATTCGAACTTATTAGCGATCATCTTCAGAGTTCGGGTTATGTTTAATGCTTTTCATTAGGCAATGATCAACCTAAAATATTTTCTTAAAATACGCGGTGTTACCACGTTTCGCAAAATGATAATTTTCTCAATGTTCTTAAATGAGTCACCCTGTATATTATTGGATTTTTGAATTGCCACTTTAGTAGCAATTTCAATTACATAAGATAGTACGGGTCTCTGACTTACCGTTTTGGCTTAATTGGTAATTATTTTCCAATCATACATAAATTCTTTTACATTCATAATTTAAGAATCTTATAAATAAGGTCCTTAAACGGAAAAAAACTTAAAAAATGTTCATATTCTTAATAATACAGACCATATGTTTTTAAAAAATATATGCATGTTGGAAGACACAAACTTAAAATTCATGTGATCATTAATTTTCACCTTTTTGACATAATCATCGCAGTAGCTTTGAAAACAATAGTAGTTCTCTGTTGTGGTAATATTACAGAATTTTTGACAGCTTATTTTTTCAGAATTCAACTATTTTCTATTTATTTTATTAAGTTGCAAGTTTTTGAGTCTATTTTTATACGTAGGAGGAAAAAGTTGACCTATTAGAATGTTACATCCCCAATAACAAAAGTCCGGCTCTTGCTCTCAGACAATATAGAGTCAAATTTCTCCATAGGCGATTGCTCGGACGATTACCAAAAAAAAAAGTCATTCTAATAGAAACAAATTTTGTATTTCATTTTTTTTTGTAACCCTTGTAGGTTTCGCTACAAGGCCCCTGTTAAATGGGCTACTCTGTACATACTCGCAAAACCTACAGTATGGTTCATACTTTATCTTTATATATATTACATTACATACATTAAGCCTTTGTACCTCTTCCGAATTCTCATTTTTAAGTCTTGAACACTATTACACCTATTTTTATATACTTCGTCTTTTATGGAAAATAATCGCTTCTTTAATATCGTCCGGCAGATTATCAATTAATGGAACAGATTTAAACATTTCTCTCCGTACATAAACACGAATTTCATTTGAGATATACACAAAATAACCTCATCGGTAAATACATATTTTTTTAAAATGTCACTTTCAAAGTAGTGGTCTATCATAATCATAATAAAAGTCCTGTTGGGATAATTTCTGAAATGGCAAAAATTTTAATGGATAGCAGTTCTTAAAGTCCTTTGAACACTAGAATTTTCGTTGTTTTATCCAAAATACAGGAGACCTTCTAATTGCTTCTCTCCTGTTAAGACACGAACAACTCGTGGGTACCCGTCTTGTAGGAAACGACAGTCTATATTCTCTTAAATGCTCTTGAACATCATTTTTCTTTTAAAAAATGTCACATAAAAAGTGTGTATTTCTGTCCAGGCAACAATTTTATTAGATCATTTTTTTTTCATGGATATCTTGTAAAAGTAAGGCGCGGTTAGAAATGCTCTTGCGGAAATTGAAACCATGCTACACGCTTATGGGGGTTAGAAGACCTTTTGTAATTAGTAATAAGTTTTATTTACTTGCATTATTTTTATATTTTAAGTTTAAGTAGGTAATGTTTTAAAATAATAAGTTAAAATAGGATATTATGTAGGTTGAGTTAGAGTTAAAGTACGATAGACGAGTTGTTGCAGAAAATTGTCCGTAATTTTTACACTTAACATTATTGTAATAAAAGCTGTGTATTATATAAAATGATACAGAATTAAATCTCAAACCCAATAAAAGTGTTAAATACAAAAAAAAAAGATTTTTAATTAAAAAAAACATTTTTCTGATTGTAATTTGCGGGCACTTTGTATAATATATTTTCGCTATAGATAGTTCGAAGCATATTTTTCAAGCGTAAAAAACCATATTTTTGCAAAGATCTGCTTTTGAGGAAAAACATGGAAAAGCTCGTTTCTCTCAAAATTTCATATCAAAATAATCAGAATTTTTAAGAATATTCATAGCATTCCATTTAAAAAATAAAGTTGGTTACTGTCCTGGCACAACGAAACACCCTGTATATATAAATATACTATAAATAAAATATATACTTTGGGTCAGACACTTTTTGTATTTAACTTTTTTTCCGCAGTGTCGTACTTATTGAGATAAGGTATATTAACGTATATATGGTACCATAAAAAAAAAGGCGTTGAAAAAGTTCTAAAAAACGAATTATGCTGTTCCGCTCGTTCAGTGCGTTTGGACCGTAGTCGGGTCACCATCAATTTCAAGTTGCACGTAGTCCAAACGCACCAAAAATTTTCGAGTTTAAGGTGATAAAATCATTAAAAATATACGTACTAAAAGGGTTCATTGTAAAACTATTTGTGTATATTTTGTTTAAACTGAAACAAATGTCGTGCAATTTTTTGCCGCTCGGGCGGCAGGTAGAGATGGCGCCCCAAAGTTCGGACACAATGTCCGAAATTTCGGAAAGCGGTACTACTTTGTCCGGCTGGACGTCCAAATGGGACTCTAAAGAGGATTTGCGAGATCTGGCGACGAAATTGGGGCTGAACGACGTGTCGGATTTGTCCCAAGAACGATTCCGGGTCGATAGGAAAAAACTGGAACAAATGCTCACAGGTAAAAATTATTTATATATCAATTTGCCATACGGACCAGAATACAGTCATGCGTACCCACATATACACTACCATTTTTTTTGTTGTCGCTTTTTTCCAACAAAAAAATCTGATGCCTCGCCTGACGTTAATTTCCTGAGACAAAATATCGGATATAGAAATTCGGGTTTCTCTGCGAAATGGCATTGATACATTGCTTGCTCTAGAAGAAAAACTGCGACCCAAAATTGAGGCGAAAATTTTTTGACGTAAATGTCGAAAACCATGTGGCTCAGAAACTGGATATGAAAATACTTTATATCGGCGCCATTTTTTGGTGCAAAATAATTATTAAAATCCTTCGGTGTCGATTGCGTAAGGAGCTTCGACTGAATGTTTCTAAAAATAAAAATTTTCGAAAATCCCATTCAGTTCGGATCAAATCACTTAAATTTTTTTTCCTTCGACGCCCCGAAGAAAATTAAAAACCGCCAAAACAGCTAAAACCTGATATTGTGGTAGAAATTGACGATTTTTAGAGTGGGTATTGTTTTATTAAAGCTGTGATAAATTGTAATGTTTTCGGTTAAAGCTGCTTAATGCTCCCTGGTAAAAAAGTGGTCGGGGGACATCGAATATTTTCAAAAATAAATACCTTGTCCCAGATAGCGTTTCGTCAAATAATCATAAAGATAAATTACGAAAAAAAAAAACAACGATATGAGTGGACACTGCATTTCAAAGTACAGCAAAAAAAAATCGGGAAGCATTTCTACTTTAAGGCTTGTTCAAAGTTCCACGTCCGTCCAAAATGTTTTAAATTTAATTTAAAAAATATTAGTTAATATTTCAATTTAAACATTAAATGTCTTCTGTTTTTGGTGTCTCTCTTTTTTCCAATTTCAATGAAAATATGTAGAAGGCAATATAATCATATTTACTTTTAAATAAAAATGCTTTCCAAAATTTTGTAAGAGTTTGTCTACAGAAAACTGGTCCACCGTAGATCCATACGTTACGCTAAAACACTTCATAGTTGAAAATATTTTGAAAATATTTTACCTCCTCTTACATCACCCTATATGATTTAAAGTAAATAGTTCGCCAAATACTTGAAACCATACAATACTCACGTTACAAAAAAAAAATGTTCCGCATTCTAATGAAAACTACTGGTTTTGTTTTTAAATCCTACAATCGCATTCGTTTTAGGTGACAATGACGCACTGTTTCCAGCGGATGTATTTTTCTCAAAAATTATGGAAGATACCGATACTTCAATAATATGGCCCAATAAACTGAAAATTGGAGCCAAATCCAAAAAGGGTAAACATTCTCCTCAAATGGCCCTAAAGTTGAAAATTTTAAAACAACAACCAATCATTTTTTTACAAAATCCGTCTCCTTGCATACATTAATTTTACATTTTCCAGACCCCCACGTAAGAATTGCTGGCCGACTTGAAGACGTGAATGTTGCTAAGAACAGAATTTTGACTATATTGAACACGAAGGTGAGCTTTTAAAAGGTCCCCTCTAAATATTAATAGATTAACGCGTTGTGATCGGTTATTTCAAAAAATTTAGTTTCAAATATTTTTTTAGCGGTGTAACAGCTGTACAGTATACCTTGGTCATTAGTAAAAATAATATCTCCTGATTGGGGAAATATGACTTTTTCAACTTACGGTTTTATAAAATAATTTTGATTTGTTTTGGTTTTGATAATTTTTCGTTTTCAGTAAATTATTTTTTTCGGTAGAAGTCGTTCAAGAGCCGCACTTATAATTCTCTTAATAAAACACTATTAGCATCTTATTCTTGTTTTATTCTAACCTTTTTGAAAACATATAAATGAGACTCTAAATAAGTTGGTAATTTAGTAATTGTTCTTGTTAAAAACTTTCTTAAAGCGAAACATACAAAATTAACAACAATTGTAGATTTCTATGTGAAAATTTTTAGTATACAAAATAGAAAAATGTTGTTCTTTTAAATTTTATGTTTTATTGCTCGTTATAATGCTTCTAAAAGTAGCAATAAATATTATATTCTATTCAAGAAATTTATTTTTTTCAAAGCTGGTAAATAAAGTAGATAAAAATCTGATACTTATTTGTGCCTTTTTTGACATGAAAATTTTCTATAATTAAATGGTAAGCAATAATCGACAATAAAAATAGTAAATAGTAACCAAATTGAACACAAAATTGCATATCGTTGTTTTATTAATGTTTATGTTTATTTGAGATATCAAAAAATAATTCAAAAAATTTTTTGGCACCCCTTATTTCGCAGTTTCTAGATTTCTCTTCTAGTTCGTTCTAGTAATAAGGGTATGTTATTTTAGTGTAACAGAGTGACAATGAAAATGGACGTCAGCTACAGGGACCACTCGCACATCATAGGCAAGGCCGGTTTGAGCATCAAACGGGTTATGCAAGAGACTCAATGTCACGTACATTTTCCCGATTCGAATCGCACAAATCCCAACGAGAAAAGTAACCAAGTTTCGATTTCTGGTGACATCGAGGGCGTCGAATGCGCGAGAAGTAGAGTTCGCGTAAGTTTTGAAATTTTAACAAAAACAAATCGTTAATTGCCGCGGTCTATTCGGGACTCAAGGAATTGATCCCGTTGATTTTCGGTTTCGAACTGCCGATCATGTCGAAAAATGTGGAGCCGAGCTCGGCTTACCTCTTGAAGATTCAAGAACAATACAAGGTGGAAGTGAAATTTAAGACGCGACCTAAATTACACGCGACTTTGGTGACGGTTAAAGGCGTCGAATGGGAGGTGAACCAAGTGAAGCAGGCGACATTGTTGCTCATGGAATTCATGTGCGATGATCTGGCCGTACGTGGACGGCGGCAGTATCGAACATTTTCGACTTGTGCGTTTTTTAGAGTCAAATTCCGGTTCAGATGTCAATGGAAATATCGCCGCATCACTATCCTATCGTCTTGGCAAAAGATCACTCTAACTTGAAGTCAATTATGCAGTATACCGGATGCAAAATCATGATCCCGGACGCTCAAGATCCGAACATCCCCACTCTAACAAAGAGCCACGTAAACATCACAGGCACCATCGACAACGTGTACAAAGCTAGACAGTTGCTTATGGGTAGTTTGCCTCTGATTATAATATTTGATTTGCCCGATGATACGACTGATTTGAAAATTAAGGTAGGTGTCCAAATCGTACCCCCGATAGTGCTTGAAAAATTTGGATTAAAAATAGGCCAATAAATGTGCTCCATTGGAGAAAATCGACTCTGATTGGCTAGATTTAGAGGCTCGTTTGAGGCGATCAGCGTCCGATTTGAAAAATAAACCCATCATGTATTTTTTATGCTTTACATTTTTGTCACATATACTTCCAAAGCGACAAAGAAAATTTTGCCGCAAAAGAGAATGCATCTCTTTCAGGAGTTTTCAATAAATATTTTCCAAAAAATATTGGAAGTACCAGGAGGTAAATACCGATATAAAGATATAAAATTACCCGGGAAACCTAATAATCCTTTGAATTTCATTTGTTTTCTCCCCTCAAGCTATTTGTTTTGATCTAATTTATAACTGAAGAGCACCCATATTATTCCTTTTTTATTAGTTATTGCTTTTTTGGTTCTTCTGGTGATTTAGTTATTTGTATAATTTTCTTCACTACTAAAACAATTTTTGTGTTTTTTTTTAAATAAGTTTTTCTTTTTCAAACTATTCTTTTGTAATTACTATTATTATTCATTTTCTCCTGTTAATGGGCAATAAAGTATTATAAACGTGAAAGAAATTATTTGGTTTGAAATTGACTTAACCTATTTTGTACTGAATTTTAGTAATTTATTTTTATGACTCTTAGAATTTTTTAAACATAATTATTTAAAGAAAACATGACAACGACGCAATTATTTTGTTGACACTTTCTTATTTCTGTTGACTTACAGTTTTAGATTAATGAAATTGTTTTAAATTAAAAAGTTAGACGTTTATGGAGAAATATGTGTTTTTTTCTTAATTGGGGTACTTAGGTTTACGAGTCGTCTCAATCGAACTAAACCATTTTGGATGGTGCAATGTTGGCGTTTCCAACGATAACATACGGCAATATCGTTGTCTTAAATAGCATATCGTACTTAAATTAATTTTTGTTCTCTTTTTCTCTCAAGCCTTAATTTGGCTGCCGTATTACACGACCAGTTGGATTTTCTTTATATTTCATGTCAATCCCATATAAATAGTTATATTTAAAGAACGCACGAAACAAGGAAGTTACTGGTTTTAGGTACTAAATATTGGATCCGCAAAATTGATTAAACAAAAAAAAAGTATTAAATATTATTTCCATTTTATTTCAGATAATGGAAACAGTTTTTTGTAATTATGAAATAATTTACAATACATATTTGTAGATTATATTGACGTAATTAAATTGGGAAACAATTTTTTATAGCCCGAACAAATTGCCGAAATTCAAACCTCTTGCGACGTGATAATTAACATCAGACACAAAGCCAATAAAACTACCAGATCCTGCGTCATAAAAGGAGTAGAACGACACGCTTGTAAGTCGAGCATCGCTTTCCTATTATTTTTCGTATAATTTTCTTGTGTCTACCAGCGAAAATCTACGCAGCCAGAAACTTGATTTTGGGCAACGACGAACCCGCTATCCAGGCAAACATACCCCCTACGTATCATATTCCTGCATCCACCGCACCGGCAACTATCGAGCATACCATCCCCTCTAATTTAAATCCTATGCCAATTTCCCCACTACTAAGCCCAATGATATCTCCACACTGGCACTACAGTCCAGCTTCAGCCACTGGCCAACAGGGCCCGCCGTTTGTCGGAATGACCCAGCAGTCTCACTTCTTCTATAACATGATGCAGCAGGGTATGAACCAGCAGAATCCGCCTCAGACCATATCCAGCAGCGGGTACCAATCGATAGTGACAAGCAGCTCGGATCAAGGCCTTCTGGACAACAGACCGACATCTAGCTTGTCCAGTGCTAGCAATTTATCGTCTATATCAAGCAACGCAGTCAGTTCGAGGGGAACATCGCCTAGTTGTTACCGGAATTTTTCTGATACCGCCCATTCGACCACTCCGAATGGTAAGAACTCATTTTTGTCTTTTTTTTTAATACAATGTGTCCCAGATTCGCTGCTCTATATAGGGATCTTTGCTCCTGTTATACTTACAGCAAAGGATAATTGGCGAAGTTTTAGAGGAAACCTAGTGACTTTGAAAACCGGTTTCACCCTCTATGACATGTCTCAATCGTCTTTTATTATCTCGCAACCCGCCTTAACTTTCACTTTTCTTACGGTCGCCGGTTTTTCAATTTTTGGAAAAAGCGTCAAATTTCTAGTTCAATGATGTCTCACAATCGCACAAACGATTATGTCATACTTCGCAAAGTTAGGTCTTAATTATTTGATAAGTGGGTCATGATTTAACATTAACATTAATAAGTAACACCAACAAAAACGCATAAACGTATTGAATTTTCAATGAATGAATCCAATATGGCGACCATAAGAAAAACGAGAGTTAAGGCTGGTTGCGACACTGACGATTGAGACATATCATATACGCTATCTTACTCGAATTAAAACAGTCTCTGACTAATGTAACATTTTGACAGCTGTCAATTTAACTAAAAGAATAGGAACGGAGATCCCTGTATAGACAAGCGAATCTGGGACATATAGCTCACACGCACATACAACGGTAATCCGATTTTTTTGTCAATTAAAAATATTAATTTATACAATTTGGAACCATAATAATATTCAAGATATTCCACAAATTTCAAAAATAAACAAAAGATGTGGTGTTGGCTTGACGTCATGATGATGCACGGCCAACTAAGGGACCATTTTATTTTTGGCTCATCCTGACCTTTAATGTAAAAAATACCTATAACGTGTTATATATTTTTGAAATCAGCATTCGATTCTGTGTAAATAATATACACTGTTTAAGTTTTAAAAAATATAACTGTCATATGCCATGCTGCTATAGAAGTAAGTACATAAGTTCATGTACATAACATACCCCGCAACTTTTGTATTATACTTTTTTTAAATAAAAAAAAGTTGGAGGGGGTAACATTTATGGTGGATTATCCGTTAGCATTTTTTCACAGTCGTCTACACGAATAATTTGAGAACTAGGGAAAAATTTGATGCGCCGCAGGAAGCATCGATATTTTCGTAGAGAAGAGAATAATTCTCCGCGCATGCTTCTACATTTAACCCACTAACCGATACTTTGGCTCCTTTTCTTTCTAAACCGTGATTTACACACACTTAACTTGTTGTCCCAAAACATTTAACGCGATCTGTCTCATCCAAACTTATTGACGATCGGCCAGCGGCCATCTTAGTTGTCGAATGCCTGTTAAAAATGTTTTTTCATATTTGCTGCATAAGTTTGTGTATTATCGGCATTAGGCAGGGTCTCTATATCTCTAGTAGCTAAAAAGCAGAAACTATAAGCAATTTATAATAACAACTTGTTTAGAGAAGTAGAGTCGTTTCAACGCCAGTGTTGTGTAGTTTTCTAATAACCCTTCCTCAATGTATCGTTTCAACTTTATTTGATTGAGCAATTTTAAAAATTGTCGTATATTATTGAGTGTTGAGTAATTAAGCTTTTAACAGAAGATTTCGTAGATATTTGTTCCTCTATATTTTGTTCATCTTTTATTGGTTTTTACCAAGCAATAGTTATTTTCTACACTTACACTTCTACTTGTTATTATTTTAGATATTTTACAAAGTATCTAAAAATTATATATGGATATGGATTATTGTGTCATATAACAGTCGTATTATTTTTTTTAAATAATGAAAGTCGTGACTTTTTTGATTGCATAAATTGTGTCGATTTTCATCAAAACTATAAATTGTAACATAAATCTTGGAAAAGTTTTTATTTTTAAATTAGCCAATTTGTCTTGCTTAAATGTTATGTTATGTTATTTATTCAAAAATCTTAAATCCAAAGGGCAAGCCATGCTAATAGTGAATTTCTATATGAAAGCGTGAAAGTAATAGTTCTGATTGATCCACAACCATCTAAAGATTATGTCATTGGTATTACCTTCTGCAGAAGTTTCGCCGGAAATGCCAGGCGAATGTCACGGGTTAGGTGGCGATAAAAAGTTTGCAAGTCCGAACACATTGTCCCCTCATGATTTCGAAACTAGACGTTTAGCTGGTATGAGAATAATGCAAAATCGTCCAAGTCCTGGTGGTTTAAGATACCCTAATGGGGTGTGGTCGGGTTACGGTATAAGTCACACGAGCCCCGGAGGAGTTTTAATGGATAAATTTAGAACCAGGGTGAGTTATCAATTGCGTCAAATATTGCTGACGAGTGCTCGGATCTCTTGATATCAGGAAGACGAAATTTGGAAGCCGAATAGTTGGCGCCAGGCCACCGGCATAAATTATCCATCCACATCGACCGCCATGAATACCAGCAATCTTTTGGAAGCTACGCCTGCTCACGTTTGGAACAAGTTCGCATCTAACGGGTTCGACCTCTAATTTTCTCGTTTTCTTTGTTCTGAAAGTGTCTGCTTTCAGCCAATGGTCAGACCTGCCGTCGATGCTTGCCGCCATCAAATTGGAACACTACATCCCTGTTTTCAAGGAGCACGAGATCGATTTAACCGTATTTTTGACTTTAACCGATTCGGATTTGGTTGCAATCGGAATTACAGCGTTCGGCGCTAGGAAACGTATATTGCTGGCAATATCCGGTAAGTATTTGCAATCGCGTGTCACTATGAACATAGTATTGCTATACAGGCTGTTATTGAAATGACATAATATAATATAACGAATTGATCTGAAATGGCAAAAATGCTCATTCTTCACTGTTCTTCCTGGTATTCCGCATAAAATTCTTTCAGAAATTTCGCATAAAATGCTTGTGGCGCCATCCTTTTTCAGCATTAGAATTAACAAGATTGCTTTCGAAAAATCATTACTGGGCGGGACAAGTTCGCCACAAGTAGCGCCAATCAGCTTTTTATTTTAAAAAGAAGGCGCTTCGCTTATTCTTGTCCTAGAGGGACGCATTGTTTTTCTATCGTACTCCTGCGGACCTCTATGGAACTTTCGCAAAATCTAAAAAACACACACAATATACACCCTGTATAAAGGGCCCGTCAAACTTCATAGTTATGCCAAACTTCAGTAAATATTAAAATTTTGACTGGTAATTGCATTTTAAAATTATATTTTTTTAAATATTCGCGCCCCCTGTATTATAGACGAAACCTTAAACTCTCTCTCGACACAGTTTACGATACTGTTCATATCATCTTTAAAAGTTTTTCATAATTCACCCACACTATTAGAATTTTTTGCCCACAAACGACGTACCCTGTATATAATTATAACAATGTTCGAAATAGAGGATGTAGCCCTGGATCTCCTTAGTTTCCTGGTATCCGAATTTTTCCAATGGAGTAAATGGTTGCCAAAAAACTACTTGTTTTCTGAAACCATGCAACACGTGGTAAAATTAAATGACGTCATCGCGTCTAGATAGGGTGAGAAATGGTGATTTTTCATTTGGATTTTTTCAAATATCTCGAAAATTGTAGCCCTTGATACGGCCTATAACACTGTTTGATCGGATTAGCTATTGTCTGTATGAATTTTGATTCACAGCTAGTACTTTACTCTCTAAAAGAACAATTTTCAGGGTCTTTTAGATTTTTGCCCATAACTAAAACACCTTGTATATAATCGAGAAAATGCGTGAAACAAAGGTAATGGCGCCGGCTTTCCCACGGATGTAATTTTTTTCCGATCGGATGAATGGCTTTGCAGGAAAAGATGTTTTTCTGGAACCCAAAATAACCACAAAAAAAATCAAAAATTAAAAAACAATACTTCGCGTTATTTTATTAAAAAGTCTAAATGCGGTTTGAGATTTCTACTTCTCTCCCAAGTTTGAAGTCGGTAGCTGCAAATTTGATGTACTTATTATGTTTTTTAATATTACACGGAATATCGCGAATACCCTGTACAATATTTAAAAATAGTAAATACAAATGTTTAAGCCGTCTATATGGGCTATATTGTCATATAAAAGAAACTAACATCCAAAACACAGATTTGAAATTATTGCCAATTTTCAATAATAGGGCGACCCATTTTTCAGTTTTTTTGAATTTGCGGCGCACCCTGTACATTTTTGAAAAATTGTCTAGAATAAAAGTTTATGGAGTCGTTTCCTCTGCGTATTGTGGTTCAAGAATTTCTTCGGTCTTGTAAACGGTTTCTGAAAAATGGTCTTTTTTGTAGGCCCTTGCACACGCGATTTTTATATTTTTCTAAATACTTCCCGACCCACCAGCCCCCATATTTTCAATAGGCTCCGTCAAGGGGCAAAGCTGCATAGATGTGTCAAATATGAAGTCGATTGCTTCAAATTTCGGACATTTATCGTGTTTCATAGCAAGGTCCAAAAAACAGTCGAAAATCGCGAAAAGAAGATGGATACCGGCTTCGGATCAGGGCCATTTCTTATAAGCTTATGTGCCTCGTGGAAGGTTAAAAAGGAGGCAAATTTTAATTTTGTAGCTCCAACGGTTCGAAAGTTATTCAGGAAAAACCAAAAGACGAGATCGAAGAACGGAGAACGGACAAACAGACAAATAAAACTTTTTTTTTTCGACGGTGATCATTTCTGTACCAACAACTTACTTACCGTTACCGAGATGTACAATTTTAAGAGCGCAAATACTTTCGAAAAATTTGATTTCATCGATTTTCGAAAGTAACAAGATTTCGGACCAATAGTTATGGTTAGTTTTGGTTAGTCAAAACTGATTAAGAGATCTTATTATTGTACTATCACGTCAAAGGATTAGCAATCACAAAAACCCCAATTTTTTTTTTGCAAGCAAATTTAAACATCATTAGTTGGCCATTAATTTTCAGTGCAAATTACAAAAGAAGGTGAGTCACGGTAAATGCCATTTTACCACGTCAGTTTCCGGGATATTACCGCACGGGTTTGAGAGCAAACGGACGTTTTCGGAGATTTTACCGCACGGCTTGAATTTTGACATCTGTCAATTCTGACGCTCATGTCAGTGAATGTATTCGTGTTGTTTTGAAAAAATGTTCCCAAAATCTAGCCGTCGTAGAAGAAGTATAGTATGCAACACGTTTGATAAACTTTTGAAGTCAAGGTTTTAGAAAAATGCATGGGTTACAAAAGTTGTAGGGGTCTGCCATCCAAAATTGTTATCACCTATTGTGTCTCAAAAGAAATATTCTAAGATTATTCCTGAAGATATTCGACAATTCAATTTCAGATATTCATATGATATTGAAACTAACCAAAACTAAACAAAACAACGTTTGCATTCAATTAAACTTGCAGTTTACAATACACAATGGCTTCTCGAATATTTTAATGTGAATGTCATTTGGCTCTAAGTCTAGGTAGGTATCACTTTTCAGCTGTCAATGGCTCAAAAATAATTGAGAATAGAGTCATATATGTCATTAGACACAAAATTCGTTAAGAACCCTTAGGAGATTCCAAAAATATAATATGTATACAGGCCGTTTGGAATTAAGTTGTTAACCAAGTTGGAAAAATTGATTTAAACTTGAAATAACAGAATAAAATTACTATCGCTACTACTACTATCTCTATTTAGTCTTTATATACCGCAATTAACACAAAATTAAATTAATTCGCAATTGGAAACAGTAGAAAATTTTGACATTTCGCACTAGAGTTAAAAAATCTTTTTTCTGTTTTTCTATTTTATCCTACTTGTCAGAAAATTTCGGCATTTAAATTTAGCTTTAAAAAATTGATAAGGAACCGATGATTGTATAAAAAAAAATCAACTTGGATCTAACCGTATATGAACTTTTACAAACTATATGAGTATATTTGAAATTTGATAAGGGAAAAATATATAAATATTGGAAAAGATACATGTGCTTACATATCAAATATATCGTCAACTTCTTAAAATCAATAATATGAAACGAAACTACCACCACGGCCCATATTCCTGAATGAAAAAAATCAAACAGTTAGTAGGAAAATTTTAATTTTAAGTTTTCTATTAAGCGTTTTTCAAAACTGACGTTTATTTTGTGTTGCTATAAGGAATTTACAACGAAATCAAACCCTACTTTTTTGTATTGGAGGATATTCAATTTGATGGTGAATAAGTGCTAGTTATTAAAAAGTATTTAAAATTAAATTAAAATTAATTTTCGCTTGTTATTTTGCTGGAACGTTCAAGTAAGCTTTTTTATTTTTTCCAGAACTGAACAATAGAAACGTGCCGTTTTCGGCGGCACCGGGCGCGGAAAGGAAGAGCTCGTCTTCTTCGAATTCGACGTGCCACGGAAGTCCGCGGGAAAATTGGTAACGAAAAACGGAAAGCTTCACGAAAGTCTACACATAGGTAACCGTTCCCAAGACCTATCTTGTTGCACGTGTTTAATTTACTATTATTTATATTTATTTCCTTAAAGCGTTTGATTTTTTTTCTATTGACGCATTAATGTTACATAACGTCATAATTTTGTTGTAGTGTTAAGTATTTATTTGTATTGGTACTAGTATTTATTGAATATTTATATATTATTTGTACGTACGGTATTAGCTAATTTATTGTATTTTCCTGGCGTAGGTATGTACGAATGTTCGGGAGCCAAAATTTTTGAAAATTTTCAAGCGGCCGCCTTGAACAATTTTCAAAAAAAATTTCTTGTTGAATTTTTCGCGATTTTAAAAATACCTGTTTTAATTGTTTGTGTGTGGATATGTACGTATATTTTTACAATACAAAATGTGATATTATACACTATTATGTTTATTGTAGTAAAATATTTAATATACATGAAGGTATGCTTTACCGATAATAGGCTTTTATATCTACTAAAATGTTGTAAGCAAAAGTTTTAATTTTATATTAAAACTCTATTTTTATTGCTTATTTCTTGATTAACTCCAATGATGACATTATATATTTTAAAAATTAAAACTTTTGTAACCGATGTGGAAATTGTATTAACTTTAGGAATCAATCATTGATTTATATTTATATAATAACATTCTAATAAATATTACTAATTGCACAATAGGACCTTTTGATTGGCGTAACCAAATCAAAATTACATTCTTCTTTTCGCTCCTCTCTTTACGTCGCGTAGAGTGCAAAAATATCGGCAGGAGGCGCACGAACCCCCACTACAGTTCGGCAACTTCCGAATCCATGTGGAGGGCCGCTTTCCCTAGAAGTTTAGTGACGCGATAAGGAGTGCGACTTTCCTCCGGCTATACTCGCAATTTACGCTCGGCTCACGTATCACACACACATACACACAACCTGATTACAAATTAACTCGCAGCTGTTAATGTAGTTTTTGCAAATTACTGAAAAGTGTAACGCCGTGCGTAACGCTGAATTCTCGCTATTTTAACAGGTGAGTACATGTATTTATTATTAATTATAATCATTAATTTTTTCAGTAGTAGTAGAAATAATAATAAATAAAATAAATAAAACAGTGTGAAATCTAAAATTAAGGCAATAACAATTTCTAATAATTAAGAATCGATTTTTTTTTAATATGAACATCTAATTTTGCTCCTGGGATTCCAAAGTATATTTTCGCGTATTAACCCTTTGCACTCGTATGTCGCCGTATAGGCGGCACACCATGTCCTATCATTACAGCAGGTTGGCCGATCTGTCATCCCCTAAGCTTATTTCTAGTATTTCTAAGTTGCTTTCTTGAACCTTCGTTGAGGTACATGTTTACGTAAAAATAAAAGATAGATAGTTCACAAGTGCACCATTTTTGCATTATGAATATTACTCAGTTTTATAACTAACACGATTGGGTAAAGTTCAGTGTATATTTAAAAAAAAAAAAAAAAATTCAAATGCCCAAGAAATTTTTACAAGATGAAATTGAAAATGAATTGCATAGTAGTGACGATGAATTTTATATTGACGCGCCTGAAAATGATAGATTGAATAGTGATAATATTAGTAACTCTAGTAGTAGTAGTGATATTGTAGTTACTAAAAGACGGACAACCATAACTTTACCATCAAGTTCAAGCAGCAGTGAAGAAAACGAGAATATAACACAACCTGGTAATTTTCGTCCATGGCAAAAAGTCACATGTAGCACACAGGTACCAGACAGGATTCTATTTACTTTTGGGGATAAAATGGTAGGACCACAAATTGCTGATACTTGTACAAAAGCCACAGATTTTTTTCAAGCTCTTTTTTACCGATGGGCTAATAATAAAAACAGTGGAACAAACAAATAACTACGCTAGACATAAAATAGCATAGAAGAGGTTGTCAAAACGTGGGTAGATACTACAGTAGAAGAGTTTACCACATTTATTTGGGTTGTCCTGAACATGGATACGATAAACTTATATAATTTCGAAGAGTTTTTTGCCACAACATTCTGACGCCAAAATACCTTTTTTTAGTATCATATTTAGAGGAGGACGATTAAAAAAAAAATATGCTCCACTTGCATGAAAACCTCTTAGGGCTCGAACTCAGAAAGTCAGTCACTATTTAGATTGTTTAGACAAGCAATTCAAAGAACATTTTGTTCCATCAACGGAGATATCGCTAGACGAATCCGTCCTTGGATTTAAGGGTAAAATTAATTTTTTAATTTACAATCCTAACAAGCCTACGAAATGGGGGATACGAATTTATGAAATGGCGGATGCTAACACCGGATATGTTCATTCAATCTTGCCGTACTAAGGACGCTTGACATCGGAAGATTTAGTGAGACCTAATTTACCTGTAAGCACAAGAATAGTGTTACATCTGTATCAAAAATTATTAAACAATAACCCAGGATGAAGAGGATATCATATTTACGCCGATAGATACTATACGAGCTTGCCGTTTGCAGAAGAATTATTAAAACTCAATGTTCATTTGACAGGTACTGTTCAAATCAACCGTAAATTTATACCTATTTTATCAAAAAAACAACATTTGCGGAAGATAACACATTTGCATGCAGATCAGGTAATTTGATGTCATTGACATATTTCAGAAAGTTGTAAATAAGACAAATGTAGGGGTCAATTACAGACCCTTATTCAGCGTCATACTATTTCCTGAGGAAGTCTTTAAAATGGTGGCGAAAGTTATTTTTCTTGGGACTAGAAATGTCTAGTGTTAACGCATATTTATTATATAAAATTTCACAACGGGGCTAAAACAAAAAATCAAACTTTCTGTAGATACAGAAGAGCGGCTAAAGAAAAAAGACTGTGCGGTATGTTCTAACCGTATAGTACAAGGCAGCAGGCGGGAAACTTGATATATTTGTGACACTTGCACCCGAAAGCATAGACTATACGTTGGTGCTGCTTCGAAAGGTACTATACACTACAACATTACATTATAAGTAATTTTTTTATATTGCGTAGGAAATTATTTAATAATAATGGTAGTGATTATGATAATAATAAAATTTTTAAATAATCCCATAGTTTTTATAAAGTGATTTTTTTAAATAAAAAAAAAACAATATAAAAAAAATCCGAGTAGACAGATAAGTATATAAAATAATAGTCCGAGTACAGTGTACTTGCCAAAGGACATATATACGATCGCAAAGGGTTAAGGCAATATAAGAATTATTCCGTTGTTTATTTTGCGTACATTCGCGCTTTCTTGATTAAGGAATAAGGATTGTCTCGCTGAGAAAGGATAATCAATTTATATGAAAGGAAGGATTGAATATCGGCGAGAGTGGGTCCCAGACAATTTCACTTATTTATTTTAATAATATTTAATTATAATTTTATCATTTTAATCGGTACGATATCAGTAATGGAAGACAACGTTTCCGGGATATTCAGGAGGGTTATAACGTTTATTTGGCAAACTTAATAAAAATAGAAATAAGAACAGTTATAAAAGAGTTATAACTGGAGTCATCATAATGAAATTTATTATTTTCTAATTTATTATTTTGTAGTAATAATGCAAATCAAAAGCTGCAGAAGTATTAATCAGGATCAATGATCGATATATTATTACTCGGTCGAAAAATATCAAAATGCCTTTTGATGATTGGGCACATGAATCTATACAAATGTTCTCAACCTAAAGCCTTTTCCTAAAATTTAAAAGCCGCAGTGGCGGAGAGACAGGGTACTAGATCTATATTTTGCTTAAATAAAATATTATATTGGTTAATTTTTTGCTTCGACTTTGAAATTTCTACATATTGCAGCTATTGATTTTGTTCTGTACTTACATATTTCGATTTAATTAGGCGCCTTGATTATACTCAATAAAGAAACAAGAAACAACCAAATCCATTTGGTCTTGCTTTAATTAATTAATTCATTAATATTAGGACTTGCGTAGAAACGGAAACTTATCATCTTAGTATCCTAAAATTAGCATTCTTTTTGCCCACGAGTTTCTGTGGGATAACCTGACTATCATCCTGTATGAGTAAAATTAATTGCGGTGAAGAGTGCAAGTCGTAAGGCCAGTCTAAATATTTAACAGTTTACACGCAATGTTTATGGTATAAATTTTAATCCGGAGTTCACTGCACCGGTCGAAGCTTAAGCAAGTTGAAGAAGTGCCGAATTATTTGTTGCTTTTTACGATTATAAACAACATATAGAGACGCATCTGCGTTAAAGTCGTTTCCAGACGTTCGTGGAAACAAATGTGTCACACCTAATAGGAACTTGAACAAAATTTTCATTTGAAAAATATTTCTTATAAAAGTAAGTTTATACTATTAAAAAAACTACGGTTCACAAAAAAAATAATTTCGTAGTTCTGTGTAACAAATATAAGCAATTAAAAATTGTAAAATTTAAATCCTCTTTGAAACGCGCTGTCATTGGCTGTGACGTCAATTCACTAGTTAGACTATGCGCCAGTCGAATGGTAGCATAGAGAAGCCATTAGAGAACGACAACGCGTTCGTCTTGGCGGTTTTAATGTTAATTTTAGTCTTGATGCTGTCGTTTGACTTTGTTATCTTGCGTTTATTTTCAAAAAGGAAGTTTTGAAAATGACGTTTATGGTGACATTTTACATATAAAACACCGAAGGTTTTTCCTTTGTTGAGGTTTGCGGTGTTAAAGCTAAAAGGAATGTTCATAGTAGGACTAGTTTTAAACCAATATAATATTGTAATCAGCGTTAAGTTTTGTAATTTTTAAAATTCAAATGGTATGTCAAATAAATTGTAAATTATTCAACAAAAACAACAAAAAAGGATTTTTTAACTAGCGGAAATATTGGCATTGATAACTTAAAACACACGATTTTCAATATTGTTTTTGTGCTGCTTGTGACCATTATTATCATGTGAAGCACACTAAGCACAAATACAAACTGTCGTAGATTAAATACAAACACGCTATACATGTGGCAAGAATAAACGTAAATATAGAACTATAACATACATGTTGCCGTATCGATCGAAACGCAGCGGTATGACGTCACGATCATTCCCGCGCGTTTAGTGTCGTTTAAAAGGAAGCCGGGTATTTGGTGTGCGTCATTTCTAAACAAATGTATTAAAGAAATAAAAAAAATATGTTCAAGTTCCCTATCCGGGTTGATAAATATTTTTATGATAATTCCTTTCATGCGTTTCATTAAAATGTCTTTTCGTTGGCACTAACCGCTACGGCGGGTAGGCAGATTTAATTTGATTTTACGGGGAATTTAATTGGCGAGAATCCTCGGTTGGCTCCGAGTGGCTTTGAGTGAAAATTCAAACATGTTCCTAATTTAATCATCGAGCTTTTCCGTTTTACCGTTCCGGAAGTCTTTTTGCATAAAAAAAATGGTGATAACAATTCGATTAATGGCAAAAATATAGAGCGTTTCATCTATCACTAACAATCTCATTAAAAATTTAATAAAGGCAAGTATTATATATCATTTCCAAAACGTTTTTCTCGGTTGTTTATCATGGTTTGCCGTTGATAAAGAATATAGAGCTAGTTTATGCAGGTGAAAGATGCTAGAACATGTGCGTGCCTAAATTTCACACACTAACTTGTA